AGTATTTTGCTGTTGATAATACCCCAAATTACAGTATAAATTACAGTTTTCTGTTACATTGTAACATCAACATGGACACCCCCATAAACTGTAAAAATATCCACATTGGACTGGACCGCTATTTTTAGGGCACCATTAGGAATCAGTATGTAATTCAAACTCCGGCAGTTATCAAATCGGTTATGTAGGGCTTGAACTGAGACCTTGCACTTGACTATGCCTTACTGATATGATATGATTTGATTGGATAATTAATATAAATACAAACAAAAAAGCTGCTCCAATTGAAGACAGACACACATTTTAAAACCATTTAGGTTCAAATTCAAAGGATTATTTACAGTAGTATTATTATACAGAATCATGTGACCCTGCCTGCACCTTGCTGGTACCAGAGTCAAATCTTTTCGAATATATTTGTTTATATTCTGTATTCTTATTTGTGACTCAGATACAGTGTTCTTGGGTTTGAGTCTGGGAGACGATATTAATCAAATGTAAACACTACACAAATAAAACATGGTATGTATGAGCATACACTGGACACTACGTCCCCCAGGACAGGACAGGACTCTGTTGTTAATCAGCTACTGTTGTGGATAGACCCCTGTTAGACAGTCCCTGCTGTCCTCTCTGTCCCTTGGCTCCTGTTCTCGTTTCTTCCTCTCCTCTTCTCCTCATCTCTCCTCTGATAATAATATAATAATACTGTAAATGCGATTTAGCAAACGCTTTTAGCCAAAGTCACTTACAATAGTGACTCACTTACAACATACATTGTCACATTGGTGGTAGAGGGGGCCTCACCTCTCCTCCTGGCTGACAGAGAGACAGATGGAGAGAATGACTCCTGACTGGGCGCATGTGGCCTGACGCCGGCTGACTCTGACAGGTATCCGATGGCACATGGCCTGACATGGTGACAGACAGGGCTGTCCCAACAGGGGTAGAGACACACACACACAGACACACACACACACGACAGACAGGGTTGTCCGAACATGGGGTTAAACACTGTCACTGCTCTTTAGAAGAGGCTATTTTGGGGACCGCTTCAGTTGTAGCGGTGGTGAGGGGGAGTGACAGAATCAGACCACAACACTAGCCATATAGGGAAAGAAAAACTGGACACGCAGAGATCTAGGTATAGTATAGTGCTGCTGTTTCCTTAATATAGTATATACAGTTGAAGTCGGAAATTTACATACACTTAGGTTGGAGTCATTAAAACTTGTTTTTCAACCACTCCACAAATATCTTATAAACAAACTATAGTTTTGGCAAGTCGGTTAGGACATCTACTTTGTGCATGACACAAGTAATTTTTCAAACAATCGTTTACAGACAACAATTCCAGTGGGTCAAAAGTTTACATACACTAAGTTGACTGTGCCTTTAAACAGCTTGGAAAATTCCAGAAAATGATATCATGGCTTTAGAAGCTTCTGATAGGCTAATTGACATCATTTGAGTCAATTGGAGATGTACCTGTGGATGTATTTCAAGGCCTACCTTCAAACTCAGTGCCTCTTGGCTTGACATCATGGGAAAATCAAAAGAAATCAGCCAAGACCTCAGCAAAAGAAAAGTCTGGTTCATCCTTGGGAGCAATTTTCAAACGCCTGAAGGTACCACGTTCATCTGTACAAACAATAGTACGCAAGTATAAACACCATGGGACCACGCAGCCGTCATACCGCTCAGGAAGGAGACGCGTTCTGTCTCCAAGAGATTAACGTATTTTGGTGAGAAAAGTGCAAATCAATCCCAGAACAACAGCAAAGGACCTTGTGAAGATGCTGGAGGAAACAGGAACAAAAGTATCTATATCCAAAGTGCTATATCGACATAACCTGAAAGGCCGCTCAGCTAGGAAGAAGCCACTGCTCCAAAACCGCCATAAAAAAGCCAGACTACGGTTTGCAACTGCACATGGGGACAAAGATCGTACTTTTTGGAGAAATGTCCTCTGGTCTGATGAAACAAAAATAGAACTGTTTGGCCATAATGACCATCGTTATGTTTGGAGAAAAAGGGTGTCTGGACCCTTCTAAAACAAACCATTTACATAAAAATAGAGATATGGTTGTAAAACAGAAAACAAATCCTTTAAAGCTAGAATCCTTAGTTACTAAATACATTTTGCACTTATAAATTAATGATATGTACCCATTGATTCTTGAAGAATATAACTTATAAATGCCTATAATGTTGTAAGCCATATAAGCTTGTTTTACTCCAATCTTGTAAACAATGTAAATATAAACAAATAGCCTCAAAACATAGTTAAAACTATAATGTTGATATCATGGATGGTCAGTCCTTGCATCCATAGCTCTGTCTATGAATTTGAGAGTGGCTCCATTTCTCCAGGCCCACCCCATAGCCGTTTACCAAAACAGAGGCGGGCTGGCGGTTCCTTATTGTTTAAAGGGATAGTTATCGCAAATTACAAAATGACAGTGGCCAGGTAAACAAAACCAAAGCATGGATTGCAGTCTTACCTATAGACTACTTACAGGGTAAAGAAACCAATATACAGTGGGGGAAAAAAGTATTTAGTCAGCCACCAATTGTGCAAGTTCTCCCACTTAAAAAGATGAGAGAGGCCTGTAATTTTCATCATAGGTACACGTCAACTATGACAGACAAAATGAGAAAAAGAATTCCAGAAAATCACATTGTAGGATTTTTTATGAATTTATTTGCAAATGATGGTGGAAAATAAGTATTTGGTCAATAACAAAAGTTTCTCAATACTTTATTATATACCCTTTGTTGGCAATGACACAGGTCAAACGTTTTCTGTAAGTCTTCACAAGGTTTTCACACACTGTTGCTGGTATTTTGGCCCATTCCTCCAAGCAGATCTCCTCTAGAGCAGTGATATTTTGGGGCTGTCGCTGGGCAACACAGACTTTCAACTCCCTCCAAAGATTTTCTATGGGGTTGAGATCTGGAGACTGGCTAGGCCACTCCAGGACCTTGAAATGCTTCTTACGAAGCCACTCCTTCGTTGCCCGGGCGGTGTGTTTGGGATCATTGTCATGCTGAAAGACCCAGCCACGTTTCATCTTCAATGCCCTTGCTGATGGAAGGAGGTTTTCACTCAAAATCTCACGATACATGGCCCCATTCATTCTTTCCTTTACAGAAAAACAGCCCCAAAGCATGATGTTTCCACCCCCATGCTTCACAGTAGGTATGGTGTTCTTTGGATGCAACTCAGCATTCTTTGTCCTCCAAACACGACGAGTTGAGTTTTTACCAAAAAGTTCTATTTTGGTTTCATCTGACCATATGACATTCTCCCAATCCTCTTCTGGATCATCCAAATGCACTCTAGCAAACTTCAGACGGGCCTGGACATGTACTGGCTTAAGCAGGGGGACACGTCTGGCACTGCAGGATTTGAGTCCCTGGCGGCGTAGTGTGTTACTGATGGTAGGCTTTGTTACTTTGGTCCCAGCTCTCTGCAGGTCATTCACTAGGTCCCCCAGTGTGGTTCTGGGATTTTTGCTCACCGTTCTTGTGAACATTTTGACCCCACGGGGTGAGATCTTGCGTGGAGCCCCAGATCGAGGGAGATTATCAGTGGTCTTGTATGTCTTCCATTTCCTAATAATTGCTCCCATAGTTGATTTCTTCAAACCAAGCTGCTTACCTATTGCAGATTCAGTCTTCCCAGCCTGGTGCAGGTCTACAATTTTGTTTCTGGTGTCCTTTGACAGCTCTTTGGTCTTGGCCATAGTGGAGTTTGGAGTGTGACTTTTTGAGGTTGTGGACAGGTGTCTTTTATACTGATAACAAGTTCAAACAGGTGCCATTAATACAGGTAACGAGTGGAGGACAGAGGAGCCTCTTAAAGAAGAAGTTACAGGTCTGTGAGAGCCAGAAATCTTGCTTGTTTGTAGGTGACCAAATACTTATTTTCCACCATAATTTGCAAATAAATTCATTAAAAATCCTACAATGTGATTTTCTGGATATTTTTTTCTCAATTTGTCTGTCATAGTTGACGTGTACCTATGATGAAAATTACAGGCCTCTCTCATCTTTTTAAGTGGGAGAACTTGCACAATTGGTGGCTGACTAAATACTTTTTTCCCCCACTGTACAATTTTGTAATTTGGGTGAACTATCCCTTTAACCGACTTGTCATTAAATGGACAGGTTTTAGTATTTCACCAGTTCTGATTCAATTATGGTTTATATGAACAGTATAATACGCCAGGCTTGGGCTGTGAATGGGAAGTATCCTCTCTAACAGAAACGTCTTTGACTGCAAGCTATAATAGACACTTTGGATTCTAGTGGCCTGAGTTCAGTATCAATCACTTTAGGTGTGTGTGTGTGTGTGCCAGTGTGTGTGCGCGTCCATCTGTCTGTGTGTGTGTGTGTGTGTGTGTGCCTGTGTGTGTGTGTCAGGACTTGGCCAATAGGGACAGCTGCTAAACTGTTTGTCTTTCACTTGACTTTCTCAACTAGACTTTACATAAACAGACTTTTCATATTACCCAAGCATTTACATTCACATCCATCACCTGTTTGCGGTGTGTGTGTGTGTGTGTGTGTGTGTGTGTGTGTGTGTGTGTTTGTCTGTGTGTGTGTGTGTCCATTTGCATGCCCCTGTCTTTGATTAATGGTTTTCATTTTAGGTGGTGTGTGTGTCTGAGAGAGAGAGAGAAGACTGTGAGCTTGTGTGTGGGCACGGGTGCGCTTGTGTGTGCCACTCAAGGGTCATTTTGTCCATCATTAGCAGTTCAACAGTACATGCTATCATAGTCGTGCTCTGCTTAAAGACTATATGGAGGATACATTTAAGAAAAATGCATCATCATCATCATCATCATCGCAGTTTTTGCTCTGTACTGAAAGTGCACTATCTTGAAGACTTGACTGCTAACATGCACATTTTGGGGGGATTGAACGGACAGTAGACTAATTAACAAAATACCAGAAACAAAAATGTTTTGTGAACTATCCAGACTGAGCTGAACATGGCACAACAGTCAGATTATTATTTTTTCTACTTATTTCTTTTCTGATGGTGACAAACCATAGAAACTGTCACCACTCCTAAACTTCTCGGTGTTTCTCTCTTCTGTCTCTCCTCTACAGGCTGCAACTGATTGATGACCTGACATATGAAGATGTCAAGAAATGCTACAGGGGCTCGGTGAGTTGTTTTGACTGTGTCCAGATTCCACTGTTTACACGGTATTATTAGCATAAGGAAGTAATGGTGCGCTTCATTCATGCGTGAATGTTTCTACCTACTAGAATATTACATATAGTCCAAGGGGAGACGTAGTAATGACGCATGTAGTTGTACTTGAACTATCACACAGAAAAACTGTCTTTACACGATTGTAAGCAAGACATGGTATTTGTCATAACAAAGGAATGAGTTTATGGCAAGTTACAGTGCCTTGCAAAAGTATTCATCCCCCTTGGCGTTTTTCCTATTTTGTTGCATTACAACCTGTAATTTAAATTGATTTTTATTTGGATTTCATGTAATGGACATACACAAAATAGTCCAAATTGGTGAAGTGAATTTTAAAAAATAACTTTTTTCAAAAAAATCTAAAGAAAAAAATAACAGAAAAGTGGTTGCGTGCATATGTATTCAACCCCCTTGCTATGAAGCCCCAAATAAGATCTGGTGCAACCAATTAAACCTTCAGAAGGACAAATAATTAGTTAAATAAAGTCCCCCTGTGGTGCCAATCTAATTTGTCACATGATCTGTCACATGATCTCAGTATATATACACCTGTTCTGAAAGGCCCAGAGTCTGCAACACCATAAGTGACGCCCTGCTTGGGACTAGTAGCCAGGGGTGGTTCAATTGTGTTCGGTGTTTATTTCTGTTGGCCAGTGTGGTTCTCAGAGGCACCCAGTTGGACCATACTAAGCACCAGTTTCACCACAGGTTTGTGGGATCTTGTTCCTTTTGGTTTGTACCGTAGGACTGCATGTATCGTTTGTTGTTTTGTTCGTGTTATCATTCTAATTTAAAAAAGAATGTTCACCTTCAACGCTGCGCCTTGGTCCTCCTCCTTCGACGATCGTGACAGAAGATCCCACCAAGACTGGACCAAGCAGCGTGTCCAGGAGCCATCGCCAGGGAGATCTCTAGCGGATCTCCTTCGCCTCCTCGACTGGGTCGAGCCATGTGAGGAAGAGAGGGGCTTGACTTGGAAGCAGAAGTGCGAAAGGCTGGCGGGAGATATGGAGACCTGGTCCACGGGTAGGAGAGAAGCCCAGAAATTTTTTAGGGGGGGGCTCACGCCGTGGACGACGGGGCAGCAGGAGACCGCGATAGAGCGGCCCAGCGGGTTGGCAGAGGAGGCCGCCAGGTTACGGGGGCCACTGGTCAAAAAGGGGAAGGAAGGTGTAGAGGCACGGCGAGAGGTACTGGGGTGTGTTACCAGTCCGGTCCGGCCCGTTCCTGATCCCTGCGTAGGGCCAGTGGTGTGTGTCCCCAGTACGGTCCGGTCTGTTCCTGTCCCTTGCGCCGAGCCTGTGGTGCGCGTCGCCAGCCCAGTCCGGTCCATTCCTGCTCTCCGCACCAAGCCAGTGGTGCGCTTCGTCAGCCCAGTCCGGTCCATTCCTGCTCTCCGCACCAAGTCAGTGGTGCGCTTCGTCAGCCCGGTCCGGCCCGCTCCTGCTCCCCGCACCAAGCCAATGGTGCGCGTCGCCAGCCCGGCCCGGCCTGTTCCTGCTCCCCGCACCAAGCCTATGGTGCGCGTCGCCAGCCCGGCCCGGCCTGTTCCTGCTCCCCGCACCAGGCCAATGGTGCGCGTCGCCAGCCCGATCCGGCCCGCTCCTGCTCCCCGCATCAAGCCTATGGTGTGCGTCGTCAGTCCGGCACGGCCCGTGCCTGTTCCACCGGTGCCTGGTCCGGCACCGGTCAGCTGCTTCACGCCGGAGCTAGAGCAATCCGCTCCACCAGTGTGCAGTCCAGCTCAGGCCAGCGGGGCCAGACCGGACCAGGGGTACTTTGGGGGGTTGGAGAGGGAGTGGGGATCAGGCCTGGAGCCGGATCCGCCGCCAAGGCGGAGTGCCCACCCGGTCCCTCCCCTGTGGTGTTTGGTTGGCGCGGCCGGAGTCCGCGCCTTTGGGGGGGGGGGGTACTGTCACGCCCTGGCTCTGGGGACTCTAGTATGTTGAGCCAGGGTGTGAGTTTTCAATTGTGTTCGGTCTAGTATTGTATTTCTATGTTGGCCAGTGTGGTTCTCAATCAGAGGCAACGGGTATCAGCTGTTGCTTGTTGTCTCTGATTGGGAACCATACTTAAGCAGCCAGTTTTCCCACAGTGTTTGTGGGATCTTGTTCCTTTTGGTTTGTACCGTAGGACTGCACGTATCGTTTGTTGTTTTGTTCGTGTTATCATTCAAATTAAAAAAAGCATGTTCACCTTCAACGCTGCGCCTTGGTCCTCCTCCTTCGACGATCGTGACACTAAGCAAGGGGCACCACCAAGCAAGCGGCACCATGAAGACCAAGGAGCTCTCCAAACAGGTCAGGGACAAAGTTGTGGAGAAGTACAGATCAGGGTTGGGTTATAAAAAATATCGGAAACTTTGAACATCCCACGGAGCACCATTATGACCATTATTAAAAATGGAAAGAATATCGCACCACAACAAACCTGCCAAGAGAGGGCCACCCACCAAAACTCACGGCCCAGGCAAGGAGGGCAATAATCAGAGTGGCAACAAAGAGACCAAATATAACCCTGAAGGAGCTGCAAAGCTCCACAGCGGAGATTGGAGTGTCTGTCCATAGGACCACTTTAAGCCGTACACTCCACAGAGCTGGGCTTTACGGAAGAGTGGCCAGAAAAAAGCCATTGCTTAAAGAAAAAAATAAGCAAACACGTTTGGTGTTCGCCAAAAGGCATGTGGGAGACTCCCCAAACATATGGAAGATGGTACTCTGGTCAGATGAGACTAAAATTGAGCTTTTTGGCCATCAAGGAAAACGCTATGTCTGGCGCAAACCCAACACCTCTCATCACCCCGAGAACACCATGTTTTTCATCGGCAGGGACTGGGAAACTGGTCAGAATTGGAGGAATGATGGATGGTGGTAAATACAGGGAAATTCTTGAGGGAAACCTATTTCAGTCTTCCAGAGATTTGAGACTGGAACGGAGGTTCACCTTCCTGCAGGACAATGACCCTAAGCATACTGCTAAAGCAACACTTGAGTGGTTTAAGGGGAAACATTTAAATGAATTGGAATGGCCTAGTCAAAGCCCAGACCTCAATCCAATTGAGAATCTGTGGTATGACTTAAAGATTGCTATACACCAGCAGAACCCATCCAACTTGAAGGAGCTGGAGCAGTTTTGCCATCAAGAATGGGCAAAAATCCCAGTGGCTAGATGTGCCAAGCTTATAGAGACATACCCCAAGAGACTTGCAGCTGTAATTGCTGCAAAAGGTGGCTCTACAAAGTATTGACTTTGTGGGGGGGGTGAATAGTAATGCACGCTCAAGTTTTCTGTTTCTTTGTCTTATTTCTTGTTTGTTTCACAATAAAAAATATTTTGCATCTTCAAAGTGGTAGGCATGTTGTGTAAATCAAATGAAACAAACCCCCAAAAAATCAATTTTAATTCCAGGTTGTAAGGCAACAAAATAGGAAAAATGCCAAGGGGGGTGAATACTTTCGCAAGCCACTGTATTTACCAATGTAACAGTAAGTTCATCAGTCCACAGAATATTGTATATGTATAGTATGTATAGTATAAGTGTCAGCTAATGCATTTGAAATCTTATGAAGTGTTTATTATTTTACAAGATTTTAGTACAGTAACAGTACACTCACAAGTCCACGTAATATTGGTTGCATACAGTATGAGTTTCAGATATTTGCATTTCAAATGTTTATTATTGTGCAAGGTTTTCTAGTGAAAGCTTCACAAACCAACACAGGGTTAACAGTATGTGAGGGTTAACTTAAGCTCTGAATGGATCAGACCATATGACTTATGATTTAAATAACCTTCTCCCCCGTCTTATACACACACAAACACACACACACACACACCTGCAATCAAACTTATTCAAACAATCAGTCCCCTTCAGAAAGGCTGAGGAAAATGTATCACTTGGAAATAACCCACAGATGTTTCCAGCAAAGGAGTTGTCGCACCACTACAGAGGAACACGGAGGGGAAGGGATTGTCTGTGGCACCACTACAGAGGAACAGAGAAGGGAAGGGAGCACTGTTAGATGTTACACAGGATAGACTCACAATTGAAGTCAGAACACAGTGTGACACAGGAAGTGTGCCTGAGTTAGAAAACACAGTGTAACTCAGAGAGGGTGTGGGACTAGTGTATAGGGTTCCCTGCTGATTGACCAGCACCAGGGGAACAGGTGTGTGCTTGCCTGCGTTTGTGCGTGCACCTGTGTGTGAATGTGTGTGCAAGAGTGCATGGTTATGTGTGTGTGTGTTCCCATAGGGAAAGGACAGTGCAGGATAAAATGGCTGAGAGGAACCTCATTTAATAGGGAGGGTTTTATTCACTTCCAAATTAATAACAGGAGCTGAATCATAATCTTTTAATAAAGCTTAGGTGATAGAGTCACATGGCCATACACTTTATTACAAGATTCTGTTTGGAAGCAGCAAAACAGTGAGTGGACATTTTCTGAAAGGAACCCTAACCACCTGCCTCGTCTCACCCGTCTCCAACCTGTCTCCCCCCTGTCTCTACCCTGTCTCACCCCCGTATCCCCCTGTCTCCCCCCTGTGTCACCCCTGTCTATCCCCGTCTCACCCATCTCTCCCTTACAGACCGTCAGCAAGTACAATTCCCAGTACCACAAGCTGTTCCAGACCGTGCCCAAGGAGGAGATCCTCATGAAAGGTAAGTCAGGGGAACTTGAAAACGATCTACACGTCATACACTCTGTCTATGAAACTAGAATACTACTGTACTTAGAATGCATGCCCAACACATTGCTTCATACTAAGTGGTATGCCATCTGTTGGTTTGGGATGAATGTGTGCATGAAATTTGAATAGGGTTTGCATCACTCCAATGTGCAAGGGTTGACTTGACACTAAACTAAATATGGCTGTGTAGCTACAGTACAACAGTTGAGATGTAGGCTATTCATATATCTTGCAATGCCTTACTTATTTTGCCTGATATGGACATTCACACTATCATAAACCACGCCAAACCCGCCAGTCGCTAAAAAGCCGGCAAAGTGGTCTTTTTTAGGTTACAAATTAATTTGGGATTATGTGATTTAAGCCAGACTCAATCAAATCACTGTCAGCTGGCTGTTAGAATCACACTGAGCTCCTCATCGCCTGACAGCAGGCTTCACAGTGCTTCCTAGCCAGCTGCTTTCCACTCCACAGTGTCTCCCTCTCCCTTTTCTTTCTCTCTCTTTCCATCTCTCTCTCTTTTGATCTCTCTCTCCCTCTCTCCCTTTTCTCCTATCTCTCTCTCTCCCTCCCTTTCTCTCTGGGGAAGCCTGTACCAGCCTGCTGCATTCAGCTGGAAATGGAAAGGGAAAGAGGATACCCAGTCAGTTGCACAACTGAATGCATTCAACCGAAATGTGTCTTCCGCATTTAAGCCAACCCCTCTGAATCAGAGAGGTGCGGGGGCCATTAAAAGCCTCTCCGATCACACACTGTTTGTTTGTGTTTTGGTCATGACTCATGTTTTGTGACATTGGTTCATAATCTGTGTTAGAACAGAATTGAGTTTATTTATTTTTGGTCGTTTCATAATTTGTGGTATGGGCGTCTAAAGATTGACGTGTTAGTATGCATGCCCTGAAGATAATATTTACGGGACAATGAAAATTACGTAACGATATTGTAAGTTGTTATGTTTCTATACTAATGGAAATCATCACCAGCCAACAGTGTTCCACAATCCCATACACTTCAGCTGTATCCCACTCCCACAATGTGTAGGTTTAAAGCCAACTCGTATATATCCCACGCTAGTCTCCAGCTCTTTGCATTCTCCCTCTGGTGTGTGTATTCCCCACAGAATTAAATAGGACACTATTATATTGTATCTATGGTATTCTCGGTCTTATCTGTGTTTTTGCATTTCATTTTTCATTTCCAGTGTATTCCTGCGCTCTTCTCCGAGACATCCTACTTCAGGGCCGCCTCTACATCTCCCGCAACTGGCTGTGTTTCTATGCCAACCTCTTTGGGAAGGACATCAAGGTGAGTGTCAAACAGCCTTGGTGATGTGGTGGTGTTTCATTCGCTCCAGTGGGTTTTCCCTGGTTAGCAGTTACGCTGATGCTGCCTAGTTCACAACTGATTAATTTACAAACACTCAACACCCGTTGAATATGGCCGGTGTCAGTAAACGTCGGCAAAAAAACGTAATTAAATTGTTGCCAGCAGCGCAGTTACAGTCACCAACGCTCTGGAAAACATGAAAACAGCCTAACCAGCTCTGCTAGGGCCAGTAAAATGGTCAGAGTGAGGTGTTATCTCATTTGTGTCTGGAAGTAGCTAGCAAGCTAGCCAACATTAGCCCATTAGCTTGGGTGCTTGACTGCCGTTGTGAGGTCAGAACACTCGGATCAACCCTACTCCTCGGCCAGAGCGTCCAGTGTGCGCTCTGAATGCTCTGAGAGCGAAATGCTCTGAATTTACGAATGCACAATCTGACAACGCTCAAGATGAAGACCTGTGTTGAAAATAAATAATAGACCTATCATCACTGAGTTAGCTTCTATAGCATTGTTGGTATGATCATTCCCGTTGATAACAGGTTTTCTTATTTTTACCTCCACATTTTCCATTGACTAGAGATCATTCAACATAAATTGATGTTTCTCTGTTCAATTGCTGAAAGTTTCTCTCTTTAAATAGAGAATAAGGATGTCTGATATACTTTTATCCTCTGCACTTAACCTGAACACAAAAGACATTCAAATGAATCGCACTGCATGCAGATTTCCTCTATTGTTAAGTCCATCATTGAAACTGCTTATTTGCTTATGTTTCCTAGTTCAGATAATTGAGCTTAAAAAAGAAAATGTTACAAGGGTAACGTTCAACATGAGATATGGCCTGTTTGATGTAGGTATTGAAATAAGTACAATAAAGTGATAGTCAGGTTATTAATTGAACAGCAAACAGTTTTACAAGATTTTGACTCTATTTACAGTAAAGGAAATTGAGTTGAGCACCAATTTCCTTATTTACAAATCATAACTTTCCATGACATCTAACTGTAAGTCGCTCTGGATAAGAGCGTCTGCGAAATGACTAAAATTTAAAAATCTAGGAATACAACATAAAAGGTGGTTGTGAAAGGGAAAATAATACAATTGTTGGTCAGTCAAGTGTAAAAATGTTTTCAAGAGGAAAGGGTATTTGGCACCAATTGACTTATTTTAACTGTGTATCCAGATCAGTCTAGGCCTATGCATTTCAATTATATAATATTTGTATTGTATTCCTATGAAATAACTGTCACGAGTGTAGAGCGGAGTAGGCAGGAGGCAGTCGCAGGTTTAGAACTACGGAATGTATTAAAATGCCATAGCTTAAAGTGGGACGAAACCCACAGTGCCAAATATAAATGTCACGGTTTCGGCCGAGGCTGCGCCTCCTCCTTGCTCGGGCAGGCTTCGGCGGTCGTCGTCCCCGGAGTACTAGCTGCCACCGTTGTATGTTATCGATGTTTGTTTGGTTTTGTCTTCTTTGTACACCTGTTTCCTTTTAGTGTTAATTATGTCTCCTATAAGTTTCTCGTTTTGTTAGTCGTGTGTTGTGTGTAATTGTTCCGCCTGTCTTTTTGGTGCTGCTCGTTTTTGCATTTTGTATGTTCTGGTTAGTCGCACTGTGTTTCGTGCGCTATCGCATTTGAGAAAGTCGATTGGACGAAGCTTCTGTGTCCTGCGTTTGACTCCTACACCACATCCACCTCAGCAGTTTCTGACAGAATTACACACCATAACTGGACCAAGCAGCGTGTCCAGGAGCCAACGCCAGAGAGGACTCTAATGAATATCAACCTCGACTGGGTCAAGCAGCGTGTCCAGGAGCCAACGCCAGAGAGGGCTCTAAAGGATATAAACCTCGACTGGGTCAAGCCGCGGGAGGAGGAGAGAGGTTGGACTTGGGAGCAGAAGAGGGAGAGTCTGGCGAGAGCCATGGAGGCCATAGCCACGGGGGAGAGACGAACCCAATACATTCTTAGGTGGGGGCTCACACCGTGGACGACGGGACTGCTGGAGGCAGATAAGGGGCGAGTTGGTGGACGAGGAGAGAAGGCCACCGGGTTACGGGAGCCATTGGCGAGTAGAGGGAAGGAATATGTAGAGGCACAGCGAGAGGTACTGAGGTGTGTAGCCAGTCCGGTCCGGCCCGTTCCTGATCCCCATGTAAGGCCAGTGGTGTGTGTTCCCAGTGCGGTCCGGCCTGTTCCTGTCCCTCGCACCAAGCCTGTGGTGCGCGTCGCCAGCCCGGCCTGTTCCTGCTCCCCGCACCAAGCCAAGGGTGCGCGTCGCCAGCTCGGCCCGGCCTGTTCCTGCCACTCGCACCAAGCCTACGGTGCGCGTCGCCAGCCCGGCTCAGCCTGTTCCTGCTCCCCGCACCAAGCCTGTGGTGCGCATCGTCAGCCCAGTCCGGCCCGTCCCTGCTCCCCGCACCAAGCCTGTGGTGCACGTCGTCAGGCCGGTCCGGCCCGTTCCTGCTCCCCGCACCAAGCCTGTGGTGCGCGACGTCAGCCCAGTCCGGCCCGTCCCTGCTCCCCGCACCAAGCCTGTGGTGCGCTTCGTCAGCCCGGTTCGGCCCGTCCCTGCTCCCCGCACCAAGCCTGTGGTGCGCGTCGTCAGCCCGGTCCGGCCCGTTCCTGCTCCCCGCACCAAGCCTGTGGTGCGCGTCGTCAGTCCGGCACAGCCCGTGCCTGGGTCACCGGTGCCTGGTCAGGTACCGGTTAGCTGCTCCACATCGGAGCCTGAGCGATCCGCTCCACCGATGTCCAGTCCAGATCCAGCCAGCAGGGCCAGACCGGACCAGGGGCGCTATGGGGGGTTTATTGGAGGGTGGGGGTCAAGCCCGGAGCCGGAACCGCCTCGGAGGAGGAATGCCCACCCGGCCCTTCCCTGTTCGGTTTATGTTTGGCGCGGTCGCAGTCCGCGCCTTTGGGGGGGGGGTACTGTCACGCCCTGGCTCTGGGACTCTGTTATGTTGAGCCAGGGTGTGTTGTTTCTATGTGTTTTGTGTTCTAGGTTTTTTATCTAGTTTATTTGTTTCTATGTTGGCCGGTGTGGTTCTCAATCAGAGGCAACGTGTATCAGCTGTTGCTTGTTGTCTCTGATTGGGAACCATACTTAGGCAGCCTGTTTTCCACAGTGTGTTGTGGGATCTTGTTCCGTGTATGGTTTGTGTCTGTTACTAAGGACTTCACGTATCGTTTTGTTGTTTTGTTCGTTCGTGTGGTAATTAAAATAAATAAGTATGTTCACTCATCACGCTGCGCATTGGTCCACTTCCTTCAGCGATCGTGACAATAAAGTACTCAGGAAATTGGAGATTCCTCTCAGCAAAACAAGCAACATATACAATGACCGACAAAGACAAATGACAGAGGGAGTATATAGACAGTGATAGAGTGGGGATTGGAACCAGGTGTGTGTAATGATGACGAGACAAGTCTGGGGTTGATGAGTGAAGGGTGTTTGCCAGCAGCAGGTTCGGAAGCAGCTAGAATGCCGGCGACGCCGAACGCCTGAGCTGGACAGGAGGGGGAGCCAAAGGGAAGGCTGGTGTGACAGTAGCCCCCCCCCCCCCCCCCCCCCCCCCCCCCCCCCCCCCCCCCCCCCGAGGCATTGCTCCAGCAGCGGGGCACCGCCAACCTTGGGGACGACCCCGGAGACGCGGTGTGGGTCGGTTCGGGACAACATCTGTGGAAATCCCGAATGAGAGAACGGTCCAGGACGTCCCGCGCCGGAAACCAGCACCACTCTTCGGGACCGGACCCCTCCCAGTCGACCAGGTACTGGAGAGACCCCCCACGACGCCTTGAGTCCAACAGGCTGTGGACGGAGTACGCCGGGGCTCCCTCGATGGCCAAGGGAGGGGGAGGTGCATTGTGGTGTCCAGCACTAGCCAAGGTACCAGCTGCCACCGGCCTGAGGAGAGATACATGAAATGAGGGTGAGATACGGTAATTGACCGGGAGCTGTAATCTGTATGTCACCTCGTTGATTCTCCTCAGGACTTTGAACGGCCCCACATACCACGGGCTCAGCTTCCGGCAGGGCAGGCGGATGGGCATGTCCTTCCTAGAAAGCCAGACCCTGTCACCGGGGTAAAAGACCGGGGCCACACTGCGGTGACGATTGGCCTGCGCCTTCTGCCAGAGGACGATGTGCAGGAGACGGGTGTTCTGTGTCCCATACCTCCTCGGTGCACCGGAACCAATCGTCCACCGCAGGAGCCTTGATCTGACTCCGGTGCCAGGGCCTGGCTGATAGCGTAGAACACACTGAAAGGGTGTGAGGTTAGTGGAGGAGTGACAGAGGGAGTTTTGTGCGTATTCTGCCCGAGACAGAAACGCAGCCCACTACCCCGGCCGGTCCTGACAGTAACTACGAAGGTACCTACCCAGTTCCTGATTCACCCTTTCCACCTGCTCATTTGATTGGGGACGGTACCCGGAGGTGAGGCTGACCGTGACCCCCAGTTGTTCCATGAAGGCCTTCCAGACATGGGAGGTGAACTGAGGACCACGGTCAGACACGATGTCCTCCGGGATCCCGTAGTGCCGGAAGACGTGAGAGAAGAGAGCCTCCACGGTCTGCATGGCCGTAGGGAGACCAGGCAGAGGAATCAAACAGGCTTTGGAAAGCTGGTCCACAACGACCAGGACGGTGGTGCACCCCTCTGAGGGGGGAAGGTCTGTGACAAAGTCCACGGAGAGATGGGACAAGGATCGTTGTGGAACCGGCAGCAGGTGGGGTTTGCCATAGGGGAGGTGTCTCGAATGTACTCTAGGTTCCGGTGGTCCGTCCAGACAAGGAAGGGGTGTTGAGCACCCTCCAGCCAGTGCCGCCATGCCTTCAGCGCCTTCTTGACGGCCAACAACTCACAATCCCCCACGTCGTAATTCCGCTCTGCGGGAGACAGCCTCCGTGAGTAGAAGGTGCATGGATGGAGTTTAGGCGGCGATCCAGTACGTTGAGAGAGAACAGCCCATACTCCAACCTCGGAGGCGTCCACCTCCACGATGAAGGGCAAAAACGGGTAAGGGTGAGCCAGAACTGGTGAAATCACCCCCTAAAATCAGCGAATGGAAATCTAAATTGGGTATAGCTGATATAAAGGTAGAAATTAAACTTGTGTCATCCCAATTGGGGGCATAAACACTAGTCAAAACAAGAGGTAGAAAACAGTTGACCAGTTACTATGACTTATTGTCCCTTAGGATCAGCAATAACCTCATAAGCTACAAAGGGATTCGATTTAACTAAATAAACTAAAGTCACAATAAAAATAACAATAACGAGGCTATATACAGGGGGTACAGGTACCGAGTCAATGTGCGGGGGAACAGGTTAGTAGTGGTAATTGAAGTAATATGTACATGTAGGTAGGGGTAAGGTGACTATGCATAGATAATAAACAGCAAGTCGCAGCAGCTTTTTTTTTTTTTTTTTAAAGGAGTGGGGGTCAATGTAAATAGTCCGGGTAGCCATTTGATTAACAGTTCAGGAATCTTATGGTTTGGGATTCAAAATCTGTTAAGGAGCCTTTTGGACCTGGACTTGGCGCTCCGGTACCGCTTGCTGTGCGATAGCAGAGAGAACAGTCTATGACTAGGCTGGCTGGAGTTTTTGACAATTTTTAGGGTCGTCCTCTGACACCGCCTGGTATAGAGGTCCTTGATGGCAGGAAGCTTGGCCCCAGTGATGTACTGGGCCGTACGCACTACCCTCTGTAGCGCCTTGCGGTCGGATGCCAAGCAGTTGCCATACCAGGCGGTGATGCAACCAGTCAGGATGCTCTCAATGGTGCAGCTGTATAACTTTTTGAGGATCAGAGGACCCATGCCAAATCTTTTCAGTCTCCTGAGGGGGAATAAGCGTTGTCGTCTTACATTTCACAGGGTTGTTAGCCCCTTTGACGTTCCACGAAATGTACTTGATGGTATTATTTTGGCAAAACTGAGCAACCCTGTTATACACCCCTGTCATTAGAGCAAAGTGAAAAAGCAATGAATACCCCAAAATCCTAAGATAATTTGTACGGTGTAAGATACTTGGAAAAAGTACAGAAAAAGAAACAGAAAAAAACGACGGAATGACATTAGAACTAAACAATTCACTCACTGATGAAACTGAGCCTTGTAGGCCAGCTTTTCTCAAAATCGGGTTTTTGGTGTTATGTTTCGTTGTCATTCAGACATTTTGAAATAAAATAGTCTTGGGTACTTCAGAAAGGGATCACCAAAGTAATATTTGAAAATAAATGCAGACGCTTATCCAGAGCGACTTACAGTTTTTTAGTGAGTGCATACATTTTCATACTGGCCCCCCGTGGGAATCGAACCCACAACCCTGGCGTTGCAAACGCCATGCTCTACCAACTGAGCTACACGGGACAACCTGTTGTTGTATTCGCGTGGCTGTTGTCATCAACCAGAAACCGGAAACAGGGTATGCTTTTCATTTGACTTTTAAAATAATAAAATCACTTAATTACTCAAAATGAAGGCACCGAAGTGGCCACAACTTTTCACTGTGGAAGAGGCTGTATCTACAGTGCCTTCGGAAAGTATTCAGACCCTTTGACTTTTTCCACATTTTGTTAGGTTACAGCCTTATTCTAAAATTGATTAAAATTATATTTTCCCTCATCAATTTACACACAATACCCCATAATGACAAAGCAGAAATATCACATTTACATAAGTATTCAGACCCTTTACTCAGTACTTTGTTTAAGCACCTTTGGCAGCAATTACAGCCTCGAGTCTTCTTGGGTATGACGCTACAAGCGTGGCACACCTGTATTTGGGGAGTTTCTCAGGTTGGATGGGGAGCATTGCTGCACAGCTATTGTCTGGTCTCTCCAGAGATGTTCGATCGGGTTCAAGTCCGGGCTCTGGCTGGGCCACTCAAGGACATTCAAAGACTTGTCCCGAAGCCACTCCTGCGTTGTTTTTGCTGTGTGCTTAGGGTCGTTGTCCTGTTGGAAGGTGAACCTTCGCCCCAGTCTGAAGCACTGAGCACTCTGGAGCAGATTTTCATCAAGGATCTCTCTGTACCCATGCTCCGTTCATCTTTGCCTCGATCCTTACTAGTCTCCCTGCCGCTGAAAAACATGCTTCACGGTAGGGATGGTGCCAGGTTTCCTCCAGACGTGACGCTTGGCATTCAGGCCAAAGAGTTCAATCTTGGTTTCATCAGACCAGAGAATCTTGTTTCTCATGGTCTGAGAGTCTTTTGGCAAACTCCAAGCCTGACAGACTAACTACAGAGTTCGCCAATGTTAGTTGATTAGTTACAAAGCTGGGACAATTTCCAAATTAATTACATCAGTAGAAACAGGACAAAACAAGCAATTTGTTAGCTGGCTATGTCAACAAATATCCAACCCATCATATGAGCTCCACTGCGTGGGCATCTACCCTACACAGCTAAACTGTCAAATATTAGGAAAACGTACAAAATGTATGGCCTTGGAATATCTGCACCTAGCAAACATGACAAACCATAACCTAAGCCCAACAGATAAACACAAATTACTCTAGCCTTCATTTCGGTGGCTAGTTAGCTATTTATTAAATAAAGGTTAAAAAAGTCGCGGTAATTCTGCCATAAATTTATATTTTGAAATAGAGCTCAAGGAGTCATTTTTAAGAGTTGTTTGTAGGTTATTTGGAAATGGCATAATTTGCTCTTTCTGATACTATATAGACATCAAAACGTCTAACCTGCTTGTGACTCGGTAGGAGAATTTGATAAAATCCCTTTTTGGCGCTTAGTTTACCTGCCTCTGTGTCTATTCCAAGCTGCGCTGTTCATCAGATTCTTCAGGCTATCTCAGTTATTATATTTGTGAAATTAGTTCCAATATAGTTTAGGTGTAGTTTCGATGGGCCATCATCAGCTGCGCAGGCTGACTGCCAGTGAGTGACTTGAGGAGCATTAGGGGCAGGGGGAACTGCTTATAACACAAATTATGTTTGTGATATTAAGATTCTAACAACGCCAGTGTGTTATGTAGACTTTTTTATTAAAAGCCAAGGATGGGGGGGTGGGGTCATGACTTTAAAAATGGCAGAGTCATTAAAAAAGTTCATTTGTTTTTTGTCAACACGACGCTCTCGGCTCTCTTAGTGTTGTGGTGCTGACCATGTTTGCTTTTCCTCTACAGGTGGCCATTCCGGTGGTGTCAGTACGGCTGGTGAAGAAACACAGGACAGCAGGCCTAGTACCTAACGGGTTGGCTATCACTGTGGACACCAGCCAGAAGGTATGGTTCAGCATAGTACAGCAGCACAATGCAATATGGCTCTACCACTCACAAACAGCTAGCTAGGTGCTAACCCTTTCAGAGTTTTTTCTGCATAGAAGAGTATTGGGCGGGCCGGGTAAGTGTTTGTTCGGGCTGCCTATGTGCAAATAGTGTAAAAAAAAAAATATATATATATACAGTACCAGTCAAAAGTTTGGACACACTTACTCATTCCAGGGTTTTTCTTTATTTGTACTATTTTCTAAATTGTACAATAATAGTGAAGACATCAAAACTATGAAATAACACATATGGAATCATGCGTTTGAGCCTATCAGTTGTGTTGTGACAAGGTATGGGTGGTATACAGAAGATAGCCCTATTTGGTTGAAGACCAAGTCCATATTATGGCAAGAACAGCTCAAATAAGCAAAGAGAAACGACAGTCCATCATTACTTTAAGACATGAAGGTCAGTAAATCCGGAAAGTGTGATGAAACTGGCTCTCATGAGGACCGCCACAGGAAAGGAAGACCCAGAGTTACCTCTGCTGGAGTGGATAAGTTCAAGGGAGTGCTCAGATTGCAGCCCAAATAAATGCTTCACAGAGTTAACAGACACATCTCAACATCAACTGTTTGAATCAGGCCTTCATGGTCGAATTACTGCAAATAAACCACTACTAAAGGATACCAATAAGAGGAAGAGACTTGCTTGGGCCAAGAAAAACAAGCAGTGTACATTAGACCAGTGGAAATCTGTCCTTTGGTCTGATGAGTCCAAATCTGAGATTTTTGGTTCCAACCGCCGTGTCTTTGTGAGACACAGAGTAGATGAACAGATGATCTTCGCATGTGTGGTTCCCAACGTGAAGCATGGAGGAGGAAGTGTTATGGTGTGGGGGTGCTTTGCTGGTGACACTGTCGTGATATATTTAGAATTAAAGGCACACTTAATCAGCATGGCTACCACAGCATTCTGCAGCGATACGGGACTTTAATTTGTTTTTCAACAGGACAATGACCCAAAACATACCTCCAGACTGTGTAAGGGCTATTTGACCAAGAAGGAGAGTGATGGAGTGCTGCATCAGATGACCTGGCCTCCACAATCACCCGACCTCAACCCAGTTGAAATGGTTTGGGATGAGTTGGACCGCAGAGTGAAGGAAAAGCAGCCAACAAGTGTTCGGCATATGTGGGAACTCCTTCAAGACTGTTGTAAAATCATTCCAGGTGACTACCTCATGAAGCTGGTTGACGGAATGCCAAGAGTGTGCAAAGCTGTCATCAAGGCAAAGGGTGGCAACTTTGAAGAATCTCAAATATAAAATATATTTTGATTTGTTTAACACTTTTTTGGTTACTACATGATTCCAAATGTGTTATTTCATAGTTTTGATGTCTTCACTATTCATCTACAATGTAGAAAATAGTAAAAATAAAGAAAAACCCTTGAATGAGTAGGTGTGCCCAAACTTTTGACTGGTACTGTATATATATATTCCGGATATGAAGTTAATTTCTTTGCCCCATTTTTTGCAGTTTTACTTTCAGTGCCTTATTGCAAACAGTATGCATGTTTTGGAATATTTGTATTCTGTGCAGGCTTCCTTCTTTTCACTCTGTCAATTAGGTGTGTATTGTGGAGTAACTACAATGTTGTTGGTCCATCCTCTGTTTTCTCCTATCACAGCCATTAAACTCTGTAACTGTGTTAAAGTCATCATTGGCCTCATGGTGAATTCCCTGAGCGGTTTTCTTCCTCTCCAGCAACTGAGTTAGGAAGGACGCCTGTATCTTTGTAGTGACTGGGTGTATTGATACACCATCAAAAGTGTAATTAATAACTTCACCATGCTCAAAGTGATATTCAATACCAATACATGCCCTTCTTTGCGAGGCATTGGAAAACATCCCTGGTCTTTGTGGTTGACTCTGTGTTTGAAATTCACTTGCTCGACTGAAGGACCTTACAGATAATTGTATATGTGTAGGGTCAGAGATGAGGTAGTCATTCAAGAATCATGTTAAACACTATTATTGCAGACAGAGTAAATGCAACTTATGTGACTTGTTAATCAAATTTTTACTACTGAACTTATTTAGGCTTGCCATAACAAAGGGTTTGAATACTTATTGACTTAAGACATTTCAGCTTTTCATTTGTAATTAATTTGTAAACATTTCTAAAAACATAATTCCACTTTGACATTACGGGGTATTGTGTGTAGGCCAGTGACAAAATCTCAATTTAATCAATTTAAAATTAAAGCTGTAACACAACAAAATGTTGAAAGATTAAAGGGGTGTGAATAGTTTCTGAAGGTGGGCAAAAAAAGTATTTAGTCAGCCACCTATTGTGCAAGTTCTCCCACTTAAAAAGATGAGAGAGGCCTGTAATTTTCATCATAGGTACACGTCAACTATGACAGACAAATTTTGAAAAAAATATCCAGAAAATCACATTGTAGGATTTTTAATGAATTTATTTGCAAATTATGGTGGAAAATAAGTATTTGGTCACCTACAAACAAGCAAGATTTCTGGCTCTCACAGACCTGTAACTTCTTCTTTAAGAGGCTCCTCTGCCCTCCACTCGTTACCTGTATTAATGGCACCTGTTTGAACTTGTTATCAGTATAAAAGACACCTGTCCACAACCTCAAACAGTCACACTCCAAACTCCACTATGGCCAAGACCAAAGAGCTGTCAAAGGACACCAGAAACAAAGTTGTAGACCTGCACCAGGCTGGGAAGACTGAATCTGCAATAGGTAAGGAGCTTGGTTTGAAGAAATCAACTGTGGGAGCAATTATTAGGAAATGGAAGACATACAAGACCACTGATAATCTCCCTCGATCTGGGGCTCCACGCAAGATCTCACCCCGTGGGGTCAAAATGATCACAAGAACGGTGAGCAAAAATCCCAGAACCACACGGGGGGAGCTAGTGAATGACCTGCAGAGAGCTGGGACCAAAGTAACAAAGCCTACCATCAGTAACACACTACGCCGCCACGGACTCAAATCCTGCAGTGCCAGACGTGTCCCCCTGCTTAAGCCAGTACATGTCCAGGCCCGCCTGAAGTTTGCTAGAGTGCATTTGGATGATCCAGAAGAGGATTGGGAGAATGTCATATGGTCAGATGAAACCAAAATATAACTTTTTGGTAAAACTCAACTCGTCGTGTTTGGAGGACAGAGAATGCTGAGTTGCATCCTAAGAACACCATATCTACTGTGAAGCATGGGGGTGGAAACATCATGCTTTGGGGCTGTTTTTCTGCAAAGGGACCAGGACGACTGATCTGTGTAAAGGAAAGAATGAATGGGGCCATGTATCGTGAGATTTTGAGTGAAAACCTCCTTCCATCAGCAAGGGCATTGAAGATGAAACGTGGCTGGGTCTTTCAGCATGACAATGATCCCAAACACACCGCCCGGGCAACGAAGGAGTGGCTTCGTAAGAAGCTTTTCAAGGTCCTGGAGTGGCCTAGCCAGTCTCCAGATCTCAACCCCATAGAAAATCTTTGGAGGGAGTTGAAAGTCTGTGTTGCCCAGCGACAGCCCAAAAACATCACTGCTCTAGAGGAGATCTGCATGGAGAAATGGGCCAAAATACCAGCAACAGTGTGTGAAAACCTTGTGAAGACTTACAGAAAACGTTTGACCTGTGTCATTGCCAACAAAGGGTATATAACAAAGTATTGAGAAACTTATGTTATTGACCAAATACTTATTTTCCACCATAATTTGCAAATAAATTCATTAAAAATCCTACAATGTGATTTTCTGGAAAAAAAATCTAATTTTGTCTGTCATAGTTGACGTGTACCTATGATGAAAATTACAGGCCTCTCTCATCTTTTTAAGTGGGAGAACTTGCACAATTGGTGGCTGACTAAATACTTTTTTCCCCCACTGCATGTATTTATTTTGAAGAAAATAAATTAGGATGGAAAAAGGTTTTCAGTGTAAACTTAAACAACTAAAACCAGATATAAAGTATGTAGAAAAGATAATGGAACTATATATTTTTTTAATAGAATGATATTTGAAAACGAACAATCACCAAATTAAAAACTAGAGAGTCGGGGAGAATCTAAAATTCAAAAAATGATGCATTCAGGGGTATTTTTTTAAAAATAATTTTGTGTCAGTCAGATAGCATAAGCCATGGCAAAATGTGTAGAATTGCAGGAAATTAGCTTTAAAACTGCTACATTTATCTCAGCCCCATGGCACGATGTGTAGAATTGCAGGAAATTTGCTTTAAAACAGCTACGTTTTGTCACTGCGGCCAACAGAAGGCCCTCAAACATTTTAGGTCAGCGACCGCACCATTGGCCAAGCCCCCACCACACCCACCACCTAATCCCCATTTTGATCCCCAATAAAACCTGCCTTTAAACACCAAAGCAGTACGGGCTAGAGGTTGCTTCTGGACCAGGCCTGTTTTGCTTTAACTTGTCTTTGTCTTGCTAAACAATGCAAAGCAACGCAACAAAGTAGCATTGCAGAAACAGTCAGGTAGCCAAGCTAACAAGTAGCCAGGCCAACTGTCAGGTAGCCAGACTAACAGTCAGGTAGCAGGCTAACAACAAGGTAGGCAGGCTTAAAACCAGGTAGCCAGGCTAAAAGTCAGGTAGCAGGCCAACTACCAGGTAGCCAGCCTAACAACAAGGCTAACAACCATATAGCCAAGCTAACAGTTACTGTAGGTAGCCAGGCTAACATCAAGGCTAACAACCAGGTAACCAAACGAACAGTCAGGTAGCCAGACTAACAACCAGAGAGCCAGGCAAACAGTCAGGTAGTCAGCCTAATCAAGCTAACAGCCAGCACTCAGCTACACGAAATAGTGTGTTTGAGAACACCTGAACCAACAGAATGTAACCTAGTCAGCACACGTGGGGAACACACAAGTCAGGTTAATGTCAGTCAAAACACTCAATGAAGCAATCCCCCAGGCGGTCCAAAGGTAGAGGGTCCACACTGTATGTTCAACTGGTCCAGTCAGAGGGAACTCTGTTAGTGGAGCCACACAGCGGACATACAGGTAACTGCCAAAATAAAGGAAACCTTGAGTAAATGAGGGATACAAAGTATATTAAAAGCAGGTGCTTCCACACAGGTGTGGTTCCTGAGCAATTCCTAAGCAATTAACATCCCATCATGCTTACATGCTGACTACACTGGCCACGTGTGTGTGTCCGCATGCACCATGGCACACGTTGATTTTGTCCACACCAGAAGCAATCATGACACGCAGGTTAAAATATCAAAACCAACTGCGAACCAACTATATTAATTTGGGGGCATGTCAAACACACATGAAACATGAATGGACATTTAGCTAGCTTGCTATTGCTAACTAATTTGTCCTGGGAGATGAACATTGGGTTGTTATTTTACCTGAAATGTATATGGCCCTTTTTTTGCTGGATCTTTGTAGAATTTTGACCCGGAGTCATACAGAATCGTGTGTTTCTCTACTCCGACTATTAACACTAGAAAAGCTGGGCATCTAGCAATCCCGTTCTGAGCCAATTAATTCTAACAGTCTAAAAAATACATTTTATATATGCTATTGCAAAAATAATAATTTGGTTGTTTATGAAGGTTGTAGGTAGGTCTACCATTAGAATAAAAACATTTTCATTAGTTTATGTTACTGTAGGCTACATGTAAAAATGAAAAAACAAAACACCACAATTCAAGTGTTATCACAAAGAAATGCATTATTATTTCGTTAAGGCAGGTCTTTAGAAACATTAAACTAATAAATTATATTTCAAAAGAACAGAATAGTCTGTGCATAGTAGCCTATGGCTAAGCTGCCGCAAGTGCTCACATGTAGAATGCATTGAATAACGGCTGTAATATTCTACAAAAAAAAAGTGGTAATTTGAAATAGAGCCCATTCCTTAATTTTTTATTGTTTGGCAAATGTATGTGTTTTAGAAACCTTAGAACCTGCTCTTTAGGCTTCATCTATTATTATAGGCCTATGTGTGAAATTAGTTTTCATATACTGTAGTTTAGGTGGAGTTTCTATGGGCCATTGTCAGATGGCAGCCAACTGGTGAAGCAAGGGCAGGGCAGAAAAAAATCACGTCCTCCTAAAATTGCTTAGAACACAAACTCTGTTTGTGATATCGAAATTCTAATTACGACAGTGTGTTGAATATACTTATTTAGGTAAAGTCAAGAACAGGGTGGACATGACTTTAAAAATGGCAGAGTAATTACAATTTTTTATGTATATGACCTCAAATTGATGCGCTCTGAGTTTTTAGTTCAATAATGAATCTCTCCTCGTTTATCTTTCAAATACCCACGTGGGGTTGTATGCTCCTGAAAACCAATGAGTAGATGGGAGAGGCAGGACTTGCAAGTTCTATTTTAGCACTTGGCTAAGCAGACACTCGTTCACACACGTGAGCGGTGTGGGTGAAAATATTGAATAACATGTATGTGTACATTTATTTTGCAACACTCGGGCATGCAAAATCAAATCAAATCAAATTGTATTTGTCACATGCGCCGAATACAACAGGTGTAGACCTTACAGTGAAATGCTTACTTACAAGCCCTTAACCAACAATGCAGTTTTAAGAAAGAATACCAAAATAAATAAATAATAAAATGTTACAAATAATTAAAGAGGAGCAGTAAAATAACAATAGCGAGGCTATATACAGGGGGTACCGGTACCGATTCAATGTGCGGGGGCACCGGCTAGTCGAGGTAATTGAGGTAATATGTACATGTAGGTAGAGTTATTATAGTGACTATGCATAGATAATAAACAGAGAGTAGCAGCAGCGTAAAGGGGGGGGGGGGGGCTGTTGCCTTTAATCCATGGCTTCTGGTTGGGGTATGTACTTACAGTCACTGTGGGGATGACGTCATCAATGCACTTATTGATGAAGCCAGTGACTGATGTGGTGTACTCCTCAATGCATCGGAAGAATCCCAGAACATATTCCAGTCTGTGCTAGCAAAACAGTCCTGTAGCTTAGCATCTGCTTCATCTGACCACTTTTTTATTGACTGAGTCACTGGTGCTTCCTGCTTTAGTTTTTGCTTGTAAGCAGGAATCAGGAGGATAGAATTATGGTCAGATTTGCCAAATGGAGGACGAGGGAGAGCTTTGTACGCGTCTCTGTGTGTGGAGTAAAGGTGGTCTAGACTTTCTTTCCCTCTGGTTGCACATTTAACATGCTGGTAGAAATGAGGTCAAACGGATTTAAGTTTCCCTGCATTAAAGTCCCCGGCCACTAGTAGCGCCACCTCTGGATGAGCGTTTTCCTGTTTGCTTATGGCGGTATACAGTTCATTGAGTGCGGTGTTAGTGCCAGCATCGGTTTGTGGTGGTAAATAGACAGCTACGAAGAATATAGATGAAAACTCTCTTGGTAGAAAGTGTGGTCTTCAGCTTATCATGAGATACTCTACCTCAGGTGAGCAAAACCTTGTGTCCGGTAAGGTTTGCATGTTAGGGTCATGTATAAAAAGTTGCCCATTATTTTGGCTACCATGGCTATGCCCCTATAGGTTCTACTAAACTGTATGGAATTGTTTTAAGAAGGTCAAACCGAGGATCATTTAGTTATTTGATTTTGAATTTTAAGACCCCTTGAAGTATTAAAAAAATATATACAAAAATTATTTGATGGAAGAATTGTATTTGGCTTACAGCTATTAGCCCATACAAACACATTGAATAACAGATTCACTACACGGAACAATAGATAGTCCCCCAAAAAATCTAAAGGAAGTTTGTTCTGAAGTGTCTGTCCTATATCTGAGAGTAAGATCAAGAAACATTATATATATATTTTTACATGTACTGTATTGAACCCCTTATTTTTGGCACTAAACTGTCTCCATATACAGTTGAAGTCGGAAGTTTACATACACCTAGATTGGAGTCATTAAAACTCATTTTTCAACCACTCCACAAATGTCTTGTTAACAAACTATAGTTTTGGCAAGTCGGTTAGGACATCTACTTTGTGCATGACACAAGTAATTTTTCCAACAATTGTTTACAGACAGATTATTTCACTTATAATTCACTGTCTCACAATTGCAGTGGGTCAGAAGTTTACAAACACTAAGTTGACTGTGCCTTTAAACAGCTTGGAAAATTCCAGAAAATGATGTACCTGTGGATGTATTTCAAGGCCTACCTTCAAACTCAGAGCCTCTTTGCTTGACATCATGGGAATATCAAAAGAAATCAGCCAAGACCTCAGAAAAGAATTGTAGACCTCCACAAGTCTGGTTCATCCTTGGGAGCAATTTCCAAACGCCTGAAGGTACCACGTTCATCTGTACAAACAATAGTACGCAAGCATAAACACCATGGGACCACGCAGCCGTCATACCACTCAGGATGGAGACGCGTTCTGTCTCCTAGAGATGAACGTACTTTCGTGCGAAAAGTGCAAATCAATCCCAGAACAACAGCAAATGACCTTGTGAAGATGCTGGAGGAAACAGGTACAAAAGTATCTATATCCACAGTAAAACAAGTCCTATATTGACATAACCTGAAAGGCCGCTCAGCAAGGAAGTGTGTGCGAGCAAGGAGGCATACAAACCTGACTCAGTTACACCAGCTCTGTCAGGAGGAATGGGCCAAAATTCACCCAACTTATTGTGGGAAGCTTGTGGAAGGCTACCCGAAACGTTTGATCCAAGTTAAACAATTTAAAGGCAATGCTACCAAATACTAATTGAGTGTATGTAAACTTCTGACCCACTGGGAATGTGATGAAATAAATAAAAGCTTAAATAAATCATTCTCTCAACTATTATTCTGACATTTCACATTCTTAAAATAAAGTGGTGATCCTAACTGACCTAAGACAGGGAATTCTTACTAGGATTAAATGTCAGGAATAGTGAAAAACTGAGTTTAAATGTATTTGGCAAAGGTGTATGTGAACTTCCGACTTCAACTGTATACTTCCATATATTTTTTTTACTGGTACAGGGGGACTTTCAGACGGGTCTTGTGAGGCCTGTGGGAATCTTAGAGCAAAACAACATGTACGTGTTCATGGGAGTCTCACCTTTCCACAGAGGGGTCATACTCTTCGGACGCTGCAGACAGAAATTGGCAGATCGGCTGTACCGATTTCAGACTGTCACACCTTGATCTGTTTCACCTGTCTTTGTGATTGTCTCCACCCCCCTCCAAGTGTCGCCCATCTTCCACATTATCCCCAGTGTATTTATACCTGTGTTCTCTGTATGTCTGTTGCCAGGTCGTTTTGTTTCATCAAGCCTACCAGCGTTTTTCCCCTTGCTCCTGTCTTTCTCAAGTTCCTGTTTTCTAGGTTTCCCGGTTTTAACCATTCTACCTGCCCTGAGCCTGAACGTGCCTGCCGTTCTGTACCTTTTGGACTTTGATCTGGATTACTGACCTCTGCCTGCCCTTGACCTGTCGTTTGCCTGCCCCCTGTTTTTGTAATAAACTTTTGTTACTTCGACACTGTCTGCATCTGGGTCTTCACCTGAAAAGTGATAGTACGAACTGGCCATGACTGACCCAGCAGACTCGGACCAGCTCCGCAACGCCATCTCCTCCCAAGGAGCCACCATTGGACGGCACAAGGAGTTGCTTTGTGGTCTCATGGAAGGGTTCCAGACCTTGGCCGAACGCCATGACCGAGCATTTAACACATTGCTGGAACAATTCCGCGGGTTGTCTGTTAGGCAGCCTACCACGACGGTAATCTCCCAGCCCCTCAGTAACCCGGCTGTTAGCAGCGCAGCCTCCCCGGCCACTCCGGTTTTCCGAGAACCCCGCTTACCTCCCCTGGAAGGCTTCGCTGAAGAGTCGGGAACCTGTCAGGCATTTCTCGCTTAGTGTTCGCTCATCATAGAGCTGCAGCCCTCCTCCTTCCCCTCGGACTGCTCTAAGATAGCGTACCTCATCACGCTGATGTCCGGGAGGGCTCTCGCCTGGGCTACGGCAGTGTGGGAACAACAGTTGGCCGTATGCTTCAGTCTGGAGGAGTTCATGCAGGAGGAAAAGAAGGTTTTCGATGCTCCATTGTCCGGGAGAGAGGCTGCCCAGAAGTTACTCCAGCAAGAATCCCGCAGTGTGGCAGACTATGCAGTGGATTTCCGTACGTTGGCAGCTGAGTGTGCCTGGAACCCGGAAGCGCTGTTCGACACGTTCCTGCACAGAGTATCAAGAGGAAGTAAAGGACGAGCTTGCAGCCCAGGAACTACCAACGGATCTCGACGCACTCATTGCCTTGACCATTCGGATCGATGGGCGACTACGGGAACGAAGGAAGGAGAGGAAGTCCGGTTCAAGTCCCTGACGGCTCCGTTGCCAAGAGAACCCGAGGCTAACCGAGTTCCTTCGAGAGTTTCCGAAGTCTGCCAATTCACCTCTTCCGGAGCCGATGCAACTAGGCAGTGCTAGGCTGTCTCCAGCCGAACGGCAATACAGGCTTCACACGAAGAGTTGCCTGTATTGCGGGACTACTGGTCATTTTGTGTCCACTAAAATACCAGGCTCACCGGTAGGAGCGACTATTGTGGGCCATACGGATAACTTTTCCTCTCCCCTTACTCACACCCCCTTTCATGCCATCTTGCTGTGGGGGAACCAGTCGAAATCTCTCTGGGTACTCATCGACTCTGGGGTCGATGAGAGATTTATGGACGCTACACTGGCGTCCGAGCTGGGCATCCCCACTCAGCCCCTCTCCATTCCCATGGACGTTAGAGCGCTGGACGGGCGCTCTATAGGCCGGGTCACCCACAATACCACCCCCATCAACCTACGAGTATCAGGGAACCACGGCAAGATGATCCAATTCCTGCTAATTAAGTCTCCTCGGGTTCCCGTGGTATTGGGTTTCTCTTTGCTCCAGCGACACAACCCCTTTATTGACTGGTATACTGGTGCCATCATGGGCTGGAGCCCGTTCTGCCACGCTCATTGCCTGAAGTCAGCGTAGCTTGCCCCGGGACGTCTTCCTGGGGGCTCGGAAGTTGCCTTGGACCTCTCCACTTCGCTTCCGCCGCACCGAACCTACGACTGCGGAATCTACCTTCTCCCAGGCACCACTCCGCCCCGGGGACGACTGTACTCGCTGTCTGGTCCGGAGACCAAAGCTATGGAGACCTACATTGAGGGATCCCTAGCTGCCGGGTTCATTCGTCCTTCTGCCTCCCCCGCCGTGCATCGACTACCGGGGCCTCAATGACATCACAGTGAAGACCCGCTACCACTCATCTCCTCGGCCTTCGAGCCGCTCCAGGGGGTCAACGTGTTCTCCCAGCTGGACCTACGGAACGCCTACCACCTGGTGCGGATACGGGAGGGGGACGAGTGGAAGACTGCCTTCAACGCGGCCAGCGGTCACTACAAGTATCTGGTCATGCCATTTGGCCCTACCAAAGCTCCAGCTGTGTTCCAGGCCCTGGTTAATGATGTTCTCCGCGACATGTTGAACCGGTTCGTCTTCGTCTACCTCGACGACATCCTCGTCTTCTCCCACTCTGCCCAAGAACATGTGCTCCACGTCCGACAGGTCCTCCAACGCCTCCTGGAGAACCAGCTTTTTGTGAAAGCTGTGAAATGCGAATTCCATCGCTCCACCATCCCCTTCCTGGGCTACATCATCACTGCAGGGAGTGTACAGATGGATCCCGGGAAGGTGAGAGCGGTGGTGGATTGGCCCCAGCCTACGTCCAGAGTGCAGCTGCAATGTTTCCTGGGATTCACCAACTTTTATCGCCGCTTTATCCGGGGTTACAGCACCCTGGCTTCCCCCCTGTCTGCACTCACCTCTCCCAAGGTTCCGTTCACATGGTCCCCAGCTGCTGACTGGGCGTTCCTGGACCTCAAACACTGTTTCACCACTGCTCCCATCTTGGTTCATCCTGACCCGTTCCGCCCGTTCGTGGTGGAGGCCGATGCTTCGGATGTCGGAGTGGGGGCGGTCCTATCCCAGCGTTCGGCCCTGGACCTCAAGTTACATCCCTGCGCCGCCTTCTCCCATCGCCTCAACACCACGGAGAGGAATTACAGTGTGGGGAATCGTGAGCTTCTCGCAGTGAAGATGGCGTTGGAGGAGTGGAAGCTCTGGCTGGACAGGGTGGAACTTCCGTTCATTGTGTGGACAGACCACAAGAACTTGGAATATCTCCGCACCGCCAAGCGTCTCAATTCCAGGCAAGCTAGGTGGGCCCTGCTTTTCACCCGGTTCAAGTTCTCTCTCTCATACCGACCGGGATCCAAGAATGTCAAGCCAGATGCACTGTCACGCCGCTATAGCCCCGCGGCTACACCCCCGGAATTAGAGACCATCCTTCCCACCTCGTGCTTGGCAATGGCACTCAGTTGGGGAATAGGGAAGCAGGTCCGGGAGGCGCAGCGTTCCCAGCCGAACCCTGGAGGGAGGTGGGGCCCAGATAATCGGATGTTTGTTCCTGACGCTGTCCGCTCCTCGGTCCTGGAGTGGGCCCACTCCTTCAGGCTTGCCTGCCACCCGGGCTCCCGTCGGACCCTGACCTTTGTGCGACAACGCTTTTGGTGGCCTACCACGGTTTGTGACATCTCCGCCTGCACGATCTGTGCGCAGAACAAGACAGGGGATTCCAGTACCTGGTTGACTGGGAGGGTTTTGGCCCGGAGGAGAGGTGCTGGGTCCCCGCTAGGGACATCCTGGACCCAGGCCTCATCGCTGAGTTTCAACGCTGGCACCCCGGTCAACCAGGTATGCGCCCAGGTAGGACGCCAGGTGGTGCCCCTAGAGGGGGGAGTACTGTCACACCCTGATCTGTTTCACCTGTATTTGTGATTGTCTCCACCTCCCTCCAGGTGTCGCCCATCTTCCCCATTATCCCCAGTTAATTTATACCTGTGTTCTCTGTTTGTCTGTTGCCAGTTCGTTTTGTTTCGTCAAGCCTACCAGGGTTTTCCCCTTGCTCCTGCCTTTCTCAAGTTCCTGTTTTCTAGTTTTCCCGGTTTTGACCATTCTCCCTGCCCTGACTGTGAACCTGCCTGCCGTTCTGTACCTTGTCACACCACCCTGGATTATTGACCTCTGCCTGCCCTTGACCTGTCGTTTGCTGCCCCCTGTTTTTGTAATAAACTTCTGTTACTTCAACACTCTCTGCAACTGGGTCTTCTCCTGAAAGGTGATACAGACGAGTCCCAAGACGCTTGTGGGGGTCGTAGAGCAAAACGGAAAACACCATCGTATTTGTGAGAGTCTCATCAAACCGTTCAGACACTACAGATGATTTTGTGAGAAGTCCGATTTTCAGGATGTCTCATGGTCTGATAAACACCGCAGATGCGGAAGTGTGACATCGGCGGATGCGTTGTATTGAGAGGCATCCAATGCAAAAAAACATATCTTTAGCTTAAACTGACAGATTTTTCTGGGGATATTTTTGTTATATATTAATTTGATTTCCGCGGGGCCTCGGAAATTGACTTTAGGGGGTTAAGACAATTTATGTTGGTGTTTCCTTTATTTTGGCAGTTACTGTACCTGCAGTTTGTTCTCAACAGACACTGCTCTAAATTGAGAACATACAACATATCAGATTAAAGGCCCAGTTCAGTCAAAAACTTGATTTTCCTGATTTCCACACTAAGAGGTTGGATAATACTGTGAAATTGTGAAAATTAGTGTAAGAGCTGTTTGAAAAGACTGCCTGAAATTTCAGCCTGTTTTTGTGGGATGGAGTTTTGTTCACCAAGCGGTACATTTGTTAATTAACCAATAAGAAAGAGAGTTCCAAACCTCTCTGCCAATAACAGCTAGTTTTCCCCTCCCCACTCAGACCACTCCCAGACAGTCCTAGTAAAATTCTTGCTTGAGAAATTGCTCTTTGCTCAAAGGTATATTTTTGTATTTTTGACCATTTTAATAAAATAAAATAAAATTGTATTTGTCACATGCACCGAATACAACAGGTGTAGACCTTACCGTGAAATGCTTACTTACAAGCCCTTAACCAACAATGCAGTTCAAGAAATAGAGTTAAGAAAATATTTACTAAATAAAATAAAGTTAAAAATAAAATAAAAAGTAAAATAACAATACAGATGCTATATCCCTTTTCAGGTTTAGAAAAAGTGGCTGCTAAATGCTAACTCCCATTCGTGGTAAAGGTTAGTCAAGGTAATTTGTAGGTAGAGGTAAAGTGACTATGCATAGATAATAAACAGCGAGTAGCAGCAGTATAAAATCAAAGGGGGGGTGGCCATTTGATTAATTGTTCAGCAGTCTTATGGCTTGGGGATAGAAGCTGTTAAGGAGCCTTTTGGACCTAGACTTGGCGCTCCGGTACTGCTTGCTGTGCGGTAGTAGAGAGAACAGTTTATGACTTGGGTGGCCGGAGTCTTTGACAATTTTTTGGGCCTTCTGTCCAGGTGGGAAAGGGCAGTGTGTAGTGCGATTGAGATTGTGTCATCTGTGGATCTGTTGGGGCGGTATGCGAATTGGAGTGGGTCTAGGGTTTCCGGGATGACGGTGTTGATGTGAGCCATGACCAGCCTTTCAAAGCACTTCATGGCTACCGACGTGAGTGCTACGGGGTGGTAGTCATTAAGGCAGGTTACCTTCGCTTTCTTGGGCACAGGGACTATGGTGGTCTGCTTGAAACCTGTAGATATTACAGACTCGGTCAGGGAGAGGTTGAAAATGTCAGTGAAGACACTTGCCAGTTGGTCCGCGCATGCTCTGAGTAAACGTCCTGGTAATCCGTCTGGCCCCGCGGCCTTGTGAATGTTGACCTGTTTAAAGGTCTTGCTCACATCGGCTATGGAGAGCGTGATCACACAGTCGTCCGGAACAGCTGGTGCTCTCATGAATGCTTCAGTGTTGCTTGCCTCGAAGCGAGCATAAAAGGCATTTAGCTCGTCTGGTAGGCTCGCTTCACTGGGCAGCTCGCGGCTGGGTTTCCCTTTGTAGTCTGTAATAGTTTGCAAGCCCTGCCACATCCAACGAGCGTCAGAGCCGGTGTAGTAGGATTCAATCTTAGTCCTGTGTTTGATAGTTCGTCTGAGGGCATCGCAAGATTTCTTATAAGCGTCCGGATTAGTGTCTCGCTCCTTGAAAGCGGCAGCTCTAGCCTTTAGCTCGGTGTGGATGTTGCCTGTAATCCATTGCTTCTGGTTGGGATATGTACGTACGGTCACTGTGGGGACGACGTCGTCGATGCACTTATTGATGAAGCCGATGACTGAGGTGGTATACTCCTCAATGCCATTGGATGAATCCCGGAACATATTCCAGTCTGTACTAGCAAAACAGTCTGTATTGAGCGAGTCACTGGTACTTCCTGCTTTAGTTTTTGCTTGTAAGCAGGAATCAGGAGGATAGAATTGTGGTCAGATTTGCCAAATGGAGGGCGAGGGAGAGCTTTGTATGCGTCTCTGTGTGTGGAGTAAAGGTGGTTTAGAGTTTTTTTTCCTCTGGTTGCACGTGACATACTGGTAGAAATTAGGTCAAACTGATTTAAGTTTGCCTGCATTAAAGTCCCCTGAATATTATCCGTGTTGTCGTTCAGCCACGACTCAGTGAAATATAAGATATTACAGTTTTTAATGTCCCGTTGGTAGAATAGTCTCGAGCGGAGATCATCCAGTTTATTTTCCAGTGATTGCACGTTGGCCAATAGAACGGATGGTAGAGGCGGGTTACCCACTCGCCGACGAATTCTCACAAGGCACCCCAATCTACGCCCCCTGTATTTCTGTATTTTCTTCATGCGAATGACGGGGATTTGGGCCTGGTCTCTGAGAAGCAGTATATCCTTCGCGTCGGACTCTTTTCGGTCATAATAGACGTTTGTAGTAACATTATGTACAAAGTAAGTTACAAAAACTGCGGCCGCCAAGAAAATTATTTCTGTATGATGGAAGCCTCCACGCTCAATAGATCTTAATATTTTTGTATGTGATTTATATGGAGTTGTCTACGGCTCGCGTTCAGGGAGCTAATGACGACACGTTGACCCAATGGCTTCTTGCTACTTAATAATTTCGTGATGTATTGCTTTGAGTTTTTTTGTTTGGTTTGTTTGCTTTTCTGATCCGTCTTTATGTCATTAGATCCATTGGGTCCTCGGTGGGGTGGGATTGATTTGGGGGAGGGGGGTTGTAACTTCATTCTGTGTATCTGTATTCTTGTTTCCTAACAGTTATTATTATAAATAAAAACATTTGATCATAAAAAGGAATGTACAGCAATCAGGGTGCTTGTGTTTTGTTTCTAACGTTAACTCAATAGCCTGTTCTCGTTCTTGTACCAGATAGTGGTGTGATGTAACAGGGCTCCTGACAGCGAACACCTTTATGGGGTTTTATGGACCTTAGTGACGACAGCTAAAGCTGCTGGCTGCCGCCTGGCTTTGTTTTGTCTTGGATGAATTGGAGAAGCTGAGTGGGAGAGACAGCTCTCAGATAACTTCAATGTCTAAACGTGTTTTGGGAATAGTGGTCTAAGCAAAACATTTATGGGTAACACATACTATACACATATTGTCTGTTTCGTTTATCTAGTGCACAGCTAGATTGGCTGAAGCTAATCAGTCATTGCATTTCATAAAGATGTCAGTTGACAAGTGAGAAATCTAACTTTGTTGATAACCTGTGCATCTTCACATCTTCTGTAATAGACTATCAAAGATAGTGGAGCTAAAGTTTGTTTTTGTCTTGTTCTCTTTTGCAGTATGTGTTTGTGTCCTTGCTGTCCCGAGACAGTGTCTACGATGTCCTCAGGAGGATCTGTACACACCTTCAGGTGCAAAATAACCTCAGAATATGCCATTGTCAAAGGGACTTTAGTATACCAATAGATGTGGTAAAAAGTTCAATGGAACGCAGACCGTGGGGGAGAGAAGAAGTTCACCGGATTGGCGCACATTTATCAAATCTTATCTAACCAAGTTGATATTCGTCAAATCCATCATAATTGATGTATCGTAACAGGCCCACAATGTGGTTACTAAAGTCCGATTTTGATATATTTGGCAGTTTTCGGTAAAGTCCCTTTTCAGGTTTAGAAAAAGTGGCTGCTAAATGCTAACTCCCATTCGTATAAGCTGATAGCATAGCTAGCATACAGAAATTATTGTTGGCAGTCAAAGTTGTTTGTAACTGTAATGCAGTTGATTGGTGATGATGATATTAATATGTATTGGGGTTGACATCCATACAAGCATTATATGCCAAATTTTACCTCAACATAGTGTGACATACACATATAAACAATAGCTTAAATGGGCTAATTTTGCTGGGGGGCAATGAGGAGATTTGGGATCTTTCTCCCACGTCATCTTTCGCCCACCCGTTTCCATGGCATTTCCATTGTTTTGGTCGAGTTCCATTGACCTCTTTACCACATTTATGGTCTGTATAGTTGAGCAGATATCGTGGATATCCATACTGTAGTGTAGTTACATTGTAGTTACACAATAGAGAACTAATACTTACTGTAGTTACAATGTAACCTTATTTTCCTCCCTAGGTGAATGGGAAGAAAAGCCTAAGCCTGAAGCAGTACTTGGAGGAGCCTAGCTCACTATCTATGGTAAGCCCAGCCAGTACACTAAACTGCACTACTCTGGGTGCACTACAGTAGGACAGATATGGTAGCCTGGGTGCCAGGCGGTTTCTGTTCTCTTACCAACTCCTCATGGAATGAGTGACAAGGAGTTGGCAAGAGATCAAACACAGACGCCCAGAATACAGTTGTGGTGCAACCAATCCTGCTTTACACAACACATTTGACAGTCTAGATCCATCTGCTACTGTTTGTTGACCAGCTGCCAATGACCATAAATTGAACCAGGCAATGTGCAATTTACAACATCCCTGTACTTTATAGTAAGTGTGTGTAGGGTCAAGGAGATAGATGGGTAATGTAGTGTAGCATTAGGATTATGAAAGTCAGAGAGATAGGCATTTGTTAAAGACGTCCTCCATCGATTTTTTAACTTTTACTGTTGAATGCAATATCCCAAGTATGAGCACAGTAAAGTACATACACTTTATGGTTAATAAATAAATAAAAATCAGCAAAAGGTTTTTTAGACACTGCTGCAAGGAGAGTGAATTGCCACTTTAAGTGTTTTGAATATGCCCCTACACGTTACTCAACGTGACTCTCATAGTAGTAAATTGCACTACTATACTGAACAAAAATATAAACGCAACATGCAACAATTTCAAAGATTTGACTGAGTTACAGTTAAAACTGTATAAGGAAATCAGTCAATTGAAATAAATTCATTAGGCCCTATATGGATTTCACATGACTGGGCAGGGGTGCAGCCATGGGAGGGCATAGGCCCACCAACTAGGGAGCCCAGCAAATCAGAATTGGTTTTTACCCACAAAAGGTCTTTATTACTGACATTGGAGGCAGCTTATGGTAGAGAAATGAACATTCAAATCTCTGGCAACAGCTCTGGGGGACATTCCTGCAGTCAGCATGCCAATTGCACGCTCCCTCAAAACTTGAGACATCTGTGGCCTTTTATTGTCCCCAGCGCAAGGTGCACCTGTGTAATGATCATGCTGTTTAATCAGCTTCTTTATATGCCACACCTGTCGGGCGGATGGATTATCTTGGCAAAGGAGAAATGCTCCCTAACAGGGATGTAAAAAAAAAAATGTGTGCAACATTTTTTAGATAGATAAGCTTTTATTGCGTATGGAACATTTCTGGGATTTTTTATTTCAGCTCATGAAACATGGGACCAACACTTTACATGTTGCACAAAAAAATGTGTTCAGTTTATATACACTGAAGCTTGCTTCTGGCCTTCCCTGTCAATTGTAAGTCCTCTTAAGAATAAGATAAGCAGAGTGCCTCAAACTGCTGTTTTTTGCTACTGTTTTTGATCCTTTAGTAGACCCTTTTGTGGTTGTTGACGTCATTATGGGTTAAGGGCATCATGGGTTAAGAAGCTTATCATGCTGGTATTTTACTCAGGCGAAAGTAAAAGGGTTTTTAGAGCTACTATAGCAATAATATCCCACTAAATGATGTGAGTGCTTAAAGGGACCTCAAACTCAAACTACCCTTCTAGCCTTCTCTCCTCTTGATCTTGTTTTTTAATCACTGGCATAATGATAGGTTCCAATTCGTTTTTTTAAACGCATATCCAAATTAATAACAGCCGCTGGGGAAAAAATTATGCCAATACATAGAAAAAGAGAATGTCCACTCACTGTTTTGCTGCTCCCAAACGTGATATTTTAATAAAGCTTAGGCAATACAATCCCTAACGTGTCGACCAAAATGTTGTGATTGTATCATTAACCTTAATTAAAGATACCTTTTGCTTTCAGCCTCTCTCAACTCCATCTCCTCTCCTCCTCTGCTGGCCTCCTCTCTTCCCCTTGCTCCTCTCCTCCCTCATTCAGGATGAGTTCCCTGTGGTCAATGACTTCCCTCCAGTGTTGAAGTGGAGGAGGAAGCCATCCATTCCGTCCGTGTCCTCCTCTCTCCCAGACCTCCTGGGTAACTCCACCAGCAGCCTGAGCGCAGTGGACACCCCCTACCTACCCACTGAGGTTCCACTGACATTGAAGGGTAAGATCAAAGGTAAGCCCCACTCAATCATTAATCATCATGGGGCAACAGGTAGTCATTTCTTGGGTGGGAAAGGATTATTTTGGATTTAAAAAATTCTCCAGGCTGCACATAAACGTCTAAAACCTGATAGAAACTATGTAGAAATTATAATGGACCTATATACATTTGAAGTTTGAAGTTTACATACACCTTAGCCAAATACATTTAAACGTTTTTCACAATTCCTGACATTTAATCCTAGTAAAAATTCCCTGTTTTAGGTCAGTTAGGATCACCACTTTATTTAAAAAATTTGTAATGTCAGAATAATAGTAGAGAGAATTATTTCTTTCAGCTTTTATTTCTTTCATAACATTCCCAGTGGGTCAGAAGTTTACATACACTCAATTAGTATTTGGTAGCATTGCCTTTAAATTGTTTAACTTGGGTCAAACGTTTTGGGTAGCCTTCCACAAGCTTCCCACAATAAGTTGGGTGAATTTTGGCCCATTCCTCCTTATAGAGCTGGTGTAATTGAGTCAGGTATGTAGGCCTCCTTGCTCACACACGCTTTTTCAGTTCTGCCCACAAATGTTCTATAGGATTAAGGTCAGGGCTTTGTGATGGCCACTCCAATACCTTGACTTTGTTGTCCTTAAGCCATTTTGCCACAACTTTGGAAGTATGCTTGGGTCATTGTCCATTTGGAAGACCCATTTGCGACCAAGCTTTAACTTCCTGACTGATGTCTTGAGATGTTGCTTCAATATATCCACATAATTTTCCTTCCTCATGATGCCATCTATTTTGTGAAGTGCACCAGTCCCTCCTGCAGCAAAGCACCCCCACAGCATGATGCTGCCACCCCCGTGCTTCACGGTTGGGATGGTGTTCTTCGGCTTGCAAGCGTTCCCCTTTTTCCTCCAAACATAACAATGGTCATTATGGCCAAACAGTTTGATTTTTGTTTCATCAGACCAGAGGACATTTCTCCAAAAAGTACGATCTTTGTCCCCATGTGCAGTTGCAAACCGTAGTCTGGCTTTTTTTGGCGGTTTTGGAGCAGTGGCTTCTTCCTTGCTGAGCGGCCTTTCAGGTTATGTCGATATAGGACTCGTTTTACTGTGGATATAGATACTTTTGTACTTGTTTCCTCCAGCATCTTCACAAAGTCCTTTGCTGTTGTTCTGGGATTGATTTGCACTTTTCGCACGAAAGTACGTTCATCTCTAGGAGACAGAACGCGTCTCCATCCTGAACGGTATGACGGCTGCGTGGTCCCATGGTGTTTATACTTGCGTACTATTGTTTGTACAGATGAACGTGGTACCTTTTGGAAATTGCTCCCAAGGATGAACCAGACTTGTGGAGGTCTACAATTCTTTTCTGAGGTCTTGGCTGATTTATTTTGATTTTCCCATGATGTGAAGCAAAGAAGCACTGAGTTTGAAGGTAGGCCTTGAAATACATCCACAGGTACACCTCCAATTGACTCAAATGATGTCAATTAGCCTATCAGAAGCTTCTAAATCCATGACATCATTTTCTGGAATTTTCCAAGCTGTTTAAAGGCACAGTCAACTTAGTGTATGTAAACTTCTGACCCACTGCAATTGTGATACAACAATTGTGTCTGTAAACAATTGTTGGAAAAATTACTTGTGTCATGCACAAAGTAGATGTCCTAACCGACTTGCCAAAACTATAGTTTGTTAACAAGAAATGTGTGGAGTGGTTGAAAAACTAGTTTTAATAACTCCAACCTAAGTGTATGTAAACTTCCGACTTCAACTGTATTTGGAAATAACTGCCCTTTTTCCAGTCCACAAATTGATTTTGACAAACAAATCAGTCCAAACAAAAATATGTACGACCTTCCTTTGAATTTGTTAATCCTTATGTGGCCCTCAAGCCCTCGAGATGTTGCTTGCCCCTAGAGGTTTTCGAGGTAAGCCAAGCAACAAGAGGGTTGCCAGTTCTAAACTTTGTATCCCGGGTCTTATGGGGAAAATCTGAAAGGAAGTGAGCACTTAGCTAAATGGCTAAATGCTACATACTTAATGACTAACATTTAAATGTAAGCTAGGCTCTGTTTTGGTTCTCTATGCCTGACGTAGTCTCTCATGACAGACCGGTACCAAGATAATGCTCGACAGAAAAGAGGCCTATTAGCTGATCGGTTGATATCTCTTCCTTCCTCCACACACAAGCTGTTTTGCTAATGTAGCATCTTCACAAAGTCCTTTGCTGTTGTTCTGGGATTGATTTGCACTTTTCGCACTAAAGTAATTAATCTCTAGGAGACAGAACGCGTCTCCTTCCTGAGGGGTATGATGGCTGTGTGGTCCCATGGTGTTTATACTTGCGTACTATTGTTTGTACAGATGAACGTGGTACCGAGATAATGCTTGACAGAAAAGAGGACTATTAGCTGATCGGTTGATATCTCTTCCTTCCTCCACACACAAGCTTCTGGGCCAAATGTCACACACTATTGACTCACACACTGATAAGTAGGGATCTATGGCTACTAATTACCCAGCTGATAGTATTTTTCTAACCAGCGTGCATAGAGCCACATACGTTTGCGGATAAACTACTTGGACTCTTGATTATTGTATGAGGTCAACTTTGTCGTAATTTTTTTTTTTCTCAACTTACTTTTCCTTGAGAGTTAGAATAATAGAATACACAAGGTGCAATTTCAAAATGTGTTTGTGCATCAGCAGATTGGTAAGTTAGTCTAGTGGCCAGCTATCTAAACTTCTAGTAAGCATGGTCGAATTACCGACCGGGGTGGGGCCAATCAGTTATCATATTAAAAACTGCAAACGTTTGCCTCCACCCTATGGTAAAATGTGTAGAATTGCAGAAAATTAGCTGTAAAACTGCAAATTTTTCTCTCCGCCCCATGGCAAAATGAGAAGAATTGCATGAAATTAGTTATAAAATTGCAAAATCTTCTCTCCGCCCCATGGCAAAATGTGTAGGATAGCAGGAAATTACCTTTAAAAAATATTTTTTTTGTATTATCTTCACTGTGACGAGGGGGCCCGCTAAAGTGCTTTGCTTGCAAGGTGGGGGGGATGGTGTGGGTACTGAGCCACTGCGGCCCCTCATGATGAGTTCTGTTTTCTTGTGGCCCCCACCCCCATCAAAGTTGCTCATCCCTGGGCTAGAGGAAGTGAGTTCAGTTGTACCAGAGAGAAAGAGGTGAAGCGAGAGGGTTTTCTCCACCCAAAATCTGTCCACGTTAAGCATATCATTAATTATTAAGCGAGTGAGGAGTTTTTGTATGGGGGGCAATGAGAGTGTTAAATTTAGTCAAGATAAAAATGTATTGCAATTTGATATGTGAGGCTTATTTAATCTAATAGAAGGTTTGTAATGCTTAGGTTGTTACAAGTGTACTGATATAAGTGTGATGCACGTGACATCCCGGAAACTTTGAGAAAAAACACTTTATATCAGAGTTGTCCCTGTTGAAATTTGAGACGGTCTGTGCATATTCATGAGGCTAGCATAGCATCTCACTCTCCATTGAATACAGGTGGTTGACGTCAACACCCCTCATCAAATAATTCAAAAAAATATTCAAATAACGAGATGTATCCACCAATCCAAAGACAGGAATAGGCGGGAGCTTGACAGCCCGCTGTTCCGCTCTGTGGACAGCGAATCCCATTGTTAGGGCGGAGACACAAGCATCTCGTCATAATTTCCAGTATCTCTGGTTGTACTTAATTGTACCTTCTCTCAGATCATTTAAAGCCCAGCTGGGTGGAGTTTTTAGCAGGGTCCTGTTCATTAGCCACCAAATGGAAAAAGATGGACTGAAAAATGGAGGGACTACCTTGACTTGTCCAATAAGAAATGCACATTTTTGTTTGCCATTGCAAAACATTTTGAAACAATTTACATAGTGTGACATAATGAACAAGACCCTGTAGAGGCCAAACCCAGCCCTGTTAAAAAAGATGGGTAGAATGGAATGTTAGCACAATCAACACATACTGTATGTACAAAAGAAATTCTACTGTAAAACTAGCTCCAAGACTAGTATTGTTACTTTCTATGTGGAAGCACCACTTTAAAGCAATGATTATGGTTTAAATGCTATTGTGTAGGCTAATCAAAGTAAGGTTGTAAATGGATCCCCTGTGTTGAAGTTTCTCCAAAGTGTCTGCCTTCAAGTTTAATTCTTGCTGCATTGGTGTCAGACATGGGATAGGAGACAGACAGTGGCGCTTAGCCTTGTTAGCTGTTAGCCACCCACATACTCAGCGCTGTGTTGACTGTGTAGTCTATAGAGAAAGAATAGCTCAATGCTAACACTAATGCCATTATGATCTGTTGTGTTGTCTATAGACGGGTTGGTTGTTTAGCAACAAAACCGGCGCTTGCGCAATGTTTATTGAAGACATAAATATATATGTGAGCACTTGTTGTCTCTCAAATACATCGTTACAGTTGTTGGTTAGCTAGCTAGCAATTATTTTAAACCATATTAGCAAAACAAGACATGGTATCAATAACAAGATACAACGATCTGAAACGAGCCACCTACGATTCCCCACATGGCAGCGTCTTGTCATTGTTGCCAGCTATCTGACCGTTCAGAATCATAACGCCAAACGGCCTTCTGCCTCATCGATGTGCGCGCATAATGTTTGTGACGTTGTCACCCAACCAGTCTATAGAGACAGATTAGCTTAATGCTAACGCTAATTAGCATTGCTCTCTCTTGTGTTGTGCTGTCTATAGACACACAATAGCTCAACGCTAACGCTAACACATTTTGGTCTGTTGTGTTGTGTGCAGAGCGGAGTCTGGAGACAGAGAAGATCCTCCTGACAGAGCCAGTGCCAGAGCTGGGCCACATGGAGTACCAGCTGCTCAAGTTCTTCATCCTTCTGTGAGTACTGGATGAACTAACCTGGTGCTGTTTGTGTTCTCGTGGTGTGACAATCACCATAGGAGTTGGCAAGGCAGCCCAAACAGATCTGGGACCAGGCTTCGGACAGACCACACTGCCCTCACATCACACACAGGGCTAATGTCCTGTACTGTTACTATACACTTAGGGAGAATATAAATTGCATTGTCTTTCCTGGCGTCCTCTCTCCTCACCTCCTTCTCAAAACCCATTGGATGAGAAGGTCAGAGGACCCTCCACTCTGACCTTTTTGAGAAGGACATGAGGAGAGAAGATGTGAGGAATCAAGGCAATGCAATTGACATTCTCCCTTACTGTCATACTGCCACCTGCTGGTCATAGTAATTCTGGCAAGTTCATATTACACTTACAGTACAAATTTAGACATTTGTATTATTTGTAAATGGCATTACACTGTTGTTTTTCATGGCTGTTAAGATTTTAATGAATTTTATAGCATGCTTGGGGAAAACATCTGTTGAAGCTCAAGGCATGTCATTCATAAAATGATCCATAGGCCTTTATTATAGCTATCAGTGTACATATGTGTTGGAAACAATGTGGTAATTGTCTGTCTCCTGTCTCCCTCAGTATCATTCTGCTCATCATGTCCTCCTGCTACCTGGCCTTCCGTGTGTGTAGTCTGGAGCAGCAGCTGTCCTTCCTCAATACACACCCCACACTGCACATGAGAGAGAGGTGAGGGACACACACGCATGAGCACACACATGCACGCACATACACGTGCATGGGTTCATACACACACAGGAGAGAGTTGAGTGTGACACACACACACATAAAGGCATGGGCACACACTCATACACACACACACACTGAACACACATACACAGCAGTGGCAGTTGGTGCCATTCAAGATTAGGGAGGACCATTTTTTAAAATGAGCATGACCTTATTTCTATTACAGCATATTGGATGACTGTCTTTCATATTCCATTCACCCAGCTCAGTGTAACATCGATAGGTTTAGGCTACTACATGATACTCGAATTTGCCCTATACCAATCATGAGGTTACTACATCCTAGCCTACAAATTAAAGTTTATAGCGTAGGTGCACAGGTCGAGAGACAAACTGGAGTAATCAAGGTGACAGACAGTGACACACATTCAATACCACCTTGCACACACTTGCCTGCATCTAGCTGATCTGGAGTGTAATCATTAGTCCAAACAGTTGCAAAACATTTTGCAACTAAAACAAGAGTTTCTATTGGACAAATTCAGGTAGGTCCCTCTAGGGCTAGGCGATATGGCCAAAATATCATATTATGTAATTTGTCAAATTTATTACAATATGACGGTATATTAGGTTTTTGAATAATGCAAGTTCTAAATATGCTTAATGAGTAGTGCATAACCTTAGGGTGGCAACACATACATTCTAAATGTTTTTAATGGGGCTTTTTCCATTCTGATTGTTTTATAAAGTTCAATCAAACTTCAACCAAAAGTTAGAATATAGTGGGCAATTTGGATATAGTGTTGTTTTACATGACAAGCCAGGGACGGGCTATTGTGACAGGGTAGGAACCAAAGTGTTGGTTAATGTTTCCCGGGGGACCCTAATTTAGAATATACAGTTGCACAAACTACATGCTGATCTAGGCCTACACCAGCACTGGTATCAGGCTGTATTTTCTAGTTAGCTAGCTACGTTTGCTTTGACTAAGTACATTTAGCTAGCTAGCCAGCTAACTAGCGATGAGCATTAGTGGCTAACACAATTTATTTTAGCCACAACTTGCTAAGAAAAGACAAACTAGCTGTTTGCAGACAGTAAGATACACAAACTAATAGTGTCATTTACAGGATATTAAGAAGCATAGTGGAAAGCAGCATCGTTGTCACCATCTTGTTGCATCTGCAGCATTGACCATGCAGACAGTCACTGCGAGTAAACGGCAAGTGAAGTGGTTGTGACTCATGGTAGAGCACTCTCCTTGGGTGACAGGGGGTGCGGCTTGGTGTGAGCGGGAGAGAGACTACTCAAGTAGCAAACGAGTAAACTATAAAAAACTGACATTACAAGTGGTGGAGTGGCGTAACACATTAAACAAACCATACATTGGAGTACCGTTATACAAGCTAAACTAGAAACCCAAACCGGTACGTGCATCAATACTGGTATATAGTCAAATACGGTATACCGCCCAGCCCTAGATCCCTTCCCGTTTCGTTCAGAAATGTTTTGCGACAGAATCGGCGGAATGAATACACCCCTGATCACCCTCACACACGGTTCACTTTCATAGCACCACATACAGCATCATCACTTTGCTCGTTGTATAATTCATTCTCGCATCTACACGCTCTCCTCCTCTCACCTTTTCCCTTAGCTTGTGGACTTCAGTGCACAGCACAACAGCTGTCTGTGACCAGGCGCAAAAATCTCTCCAAGCCAAACCTTCATACCATAACCGCTAACCGATACACAGCCTACATTGTTGTCACTATATTAATGTTCTAGTCAACAAACTAGAACTAATGCGTTAGGAAATCCACAATCCAATCCATGTGTACAATCACGCAGTACAGGGTACAGCAAGCAGTTTAGCAGTTACACCGGCAGGCCCCGGTGGCAATACATTTATACAACCGAAAGCTTACCTTGACTTGGAAGAGTTGCAGTGTTGGATAGCCTTAGCCAGCTAGCTAACATAAATAGCATTCCTCTCTGTTTGATTCAGGTTGTTGAATAGGCTAAATTAGCTGCATAAGCTAAGTAAGTTAAAGGTTAGCCTATGCAGAGTCGCCAAAAAATGCTAACGTGTTTTTCAGGGATACAGTATTTGCAACCTAACTTCTGTTTCCCCTGAACTCCGCTCAGGCGTCTTTCTACGCCTGCCACATTAGGTTAGTAAAAGGTGAAATAGGAAAATAAAAATACAACGAAATATAACTCTCTCTCTCTCTGCTGCTTCTCCTTAATTTTTCTAGAAATTAATTAGTTGAAAACTGTTCAACTATTGTCTTTCTCTCTCTGTGAGTCAACTACTCACCATACTTTATGCAGTGCTAGCTAGCTGTGGCTTATATAATTTCAGTACTAGATTCATTCTCTGATCCTTTGATTGGATGGACAAGTTGTTAATTCATACTGCAAGAGCTTTTGATAGATTAGAGGACGTCCTCCGGAAGTCGTCATAATTACTGTGTCTATGGAAGGGTGTGAGAACCATGAGCCTCCTTGGTTTTGTATTGAAGTCAATGTACCCAGAAGACGGAAAATAGCTGTCCTCCGGCTACACCATGGTGCTGCCCTAGAGGGTGCTGTTGAGGCTACTGTAGACCATTACAAAACAGAGTGTTTTAGTCAGGTATTTGGTAACATGAATATATTTAGTCGTTTTATCTAAAAAACGATTTTTCTGAAAATCACAGAGTGGGATGGTCCTCCCCTTCCTCCTCTGAGGAGCCTCCACTGATACACACAAAATACACATACATACTCCAAATGTTTTACCAATGAACACATCTTTGTCCCCCAGTCCCTTTGCTCATTTCCTATCTCAACAGAGTGCTGAATGCTTTGATAAGTCATGTTTGCTGTATCGTCATATTTGACTAGATATAACATTATATTCCCACTTCAAGATCAGATAGTGTTGTTGCTATGCCAACTTGCATGTTTGTCCCTTCCCAGGTAACACTTGCTGTACGCTGCGTCCCCATTGGACAGATGTCCTGTCAGTCACAGAGGTTCTCCTGGCGATTGGGCAAACAGAGACTCAGTTCATTTACCTGTCCCAGCATAGTAGGTGTGGAGAAGTACCCTGCTGGTTCAATGAGAAGACAATGACTTGAGACAAGCCAAGACCTGAAGCGAAAACTGCACTTAAACAGACAGCCCAATAGGGGGTGCCAGTGAGCCAATAATCCTCTTGTCATTCCCTAGAAAGACTACAGACCCCTCGGACAAGAGACTAGGATGGAATGAGGAGGATGGAGGAGGATTGGAAGTAGAGGACTACAGAGTTGATGTCAATGGGGCCGTGCCAACCAAGTTCACCTGATTTTGACCTTTGACCTCAATGTCCTTATTTTACTGCCAAGGAATTACAATTACAATTCCAGTCGACTGATCAGACACTTTCGCATCCAGGATTTCAGAGACTAGAGACTTTTTTTCAGAGACAGATACTTTTTCAATAGGAACAGACTGCACCCAGTGGGTGTTTTTGCGTACACTTTTGTGGAGAGTTTCTGCGAGAGAGACTGAAGATAAGGCATTCCGATCAGGAACTCAACCTGACCTGGTCAAACATTTCCCACCGCAGCCCACCCGGCAATGTTTACTGAGCACGGTCACTAAGACACGAACGCTCTTGTACCCTAATGAAGAAACCATTTCAATAGACATTATTATCAGAAGTTTATCTGTCTGTCAGAATTGTGAGATGATATGCTAGAGTTATGGCTGAATTATAGCGGTCTTGTCATGCAAACTGAAAACATGGTACTGTGTGTGTCAGGTGAGGATGACAAGTCATAAAGTGAAAGCTACGTGTGTGTGTGTGTGTCAGCTTGTGTGCGTGTTTATGTGTGTATGAGTGTTTTCAGCATTATGTGTGTGACTTAACAAGTGGCTAGGACTATCTTAAGGAATTGTGTAGCTTCTCCACTTGACAAACGATGGCTGCATGTAATGTAATACTAGATATTGACTGAATTGTAAAGCCATTGTCTGTGACACTGTTGCATGGATGTTATCAATGGAACTAATGCAGAGTAAAGCAGTGAAGATATTGAGAGAGACGCAGGTTGACAGTGAATGTCGTTGCTGTTCACTTGTTCTTTAATTTTCCATGTGGAGGTGTGTACTATAGAGATTGTACAGTACTTGAAACCTAATCATGCATTTCATAGGACATTGTGTATTCATGTAATCCATGGTGTGGAAAAATATGGCCTCCACTTCAGCTACTACGTGCACCTTTAAAGCGTATCCAAGGCTGGGCAGAGAGAATTGTGTAGACTAAAGTGTATTTACTACTAGAGCCTGTATGTATTTATTTGTGTGCAATTTCGTACTGAGTCAGAAGGGCATGTTGTTTTTATTGAGTCGGTATGGGTGTTTGTTCACTGACGTATTTCTGACCTGAGTTGTGTTCATTTTGCACAAAATGGGAAAAAACTGATTGAAATGGGGGAGAACTACTTTGATTTGTCCAATCGTGCCCTAATGAATACGACCATGTCTTGCAGTAGGGCTGGAGTCACAGCAGTGCCATGCGTAGCTGTGAGACAACAGTGACTAATAAACAGCCTTCCTTGCCCGTGCCTCTTGTGACCTTTCACCTCATATAACCGGATCCCAACACTGGAAATGGAAACACCTGGAAGCAATCATGGAGGAACATCAATACTAGTTCTTCCCCCTACTGACCTACAGCATATTTACTGTGCAGGGGTTACATCATTACAAGTGTGTAGGATGTTAGTTTAGTTGGGAGAGACTATGGTAAACACAGTGATGAAATGTCCACTCCCCTTTTTATTAAATGTATGTATTTATTGTATGCACACGTGTCCTAATACTTACAGTGCATTCGGAAAGTATTCAGACCCCTTGACCTTTTCCACATTTTGTTATGTTACAGCCTTATTCTAAAATTGATTAAAATGTTTTTTTCCTCATCAATCTACACACAATACCCCATAATGACAAAGCAAAAACAGGTTTTTAGACATTTTTGCAAATTTATTGAAAATTGAAATATTACATTTACAGAAGTATTTAGACCCTTTACTCAGTACTTTGTTGAAGCACTTTTGGCAGCGATTACAGCCTAGAGTCTTCTTGGGTATGACGCTACAAGCTTGGGACACCTGTATTTGGGGAGTTTCTCCCATTCTTCTCTGCAGATCCTCTCAAGCTCTTGTCAGGTTGGATGGGGAGCGTTGCTTCACAGCTATTTTCAGGTCTCTCCGGAGATGTTCGATCGGGTTCAAGTCCAGGCTCTGGCTGGGCCACTCAAGGACATTTAGAGACTTGTCCCGATGCCACTCCTGCGTTGTCTTGGCTGTGTGCTTAGGGTCGTTGTCCTGTTGGAAGGTGAACCTTCACCCCAGTCTGAGGTCCTGAGCGCTCTGGAGCAGGTTTTCATTAAGAATCTCTCTGTACTTTTCTCCGTTCATCTTTGCCTCGATCCTGACTAGTCTCCTAGTCCCTGCCGCTGAAAAACATCCCCACAGCATGATGCTGCCACCACCATGCTTCACCGTAGGGATGGTGCCAGGTTTCCTCCAGACGTGACGCTTGGCATTCAGGCCAAATAGTTCAATTTTGGTTTCTTCAGACCAGAGAATCTTGTTTCTCATGGTCTGAGAGTCTTTAGGTGCCTTATGGCAAACTCCAAGCGGGCTGTCATGTGCCTTTTACTGAGGAGTGGCTTCCGTCTGGCCACTCTACCATAAAGGCCTGATTGGTGGAGTGCTGCAGAGATGGTTGTCCTTCTGGAAGGTTCTCCCATCTCCACAGATGAACTCTAGAGCTCTGTCAGAGTGACCATCGGGTTCTTGGTCACCTCCCTGACCAAGGCCCTTCTCCCCCAATTGCTCAGTTTGGCTGGGCGGCCAGCTCTAGGAAGAGTCTTAGTGGTTCCAAACTTCTTCCATTTAAGAATGATGGAGTCCACAATTCCTTTGACCTCATGGCTTGGTTTTTGCTCTGACATGCACTGTCAACTGTGGGACCTTATATGGACAGGTGTGTGCCTTTCCAAATCATGTCCAATCAATTGAATTTACCACAGGTGGATTCCAATCAAGTTGTAGAAACATCTCAAGGATGATCAATGGAAACAGGATGCACCTGAGCTCAATTTCGAGTCTCATAGCAAAGAGTCTGAATACTATGTAAATAAGGTATTTCTGTTTTTATTTTTAATAAATGTAAAAACCTGTTTTCACTCTTCCATTATGGGGTATTGTGTGTAGATTGCTGAGGGAAAAAATATATTGTGGTCCTCTGTAGCTCAATTGGTAGAGCATGGCGCTTGTAACGCCAGGGTAGTGGGTTCGATCCTCGGACCACCCATACGTAAAAATGTATGCACACATGACTGTAAGTCGCTTTGGATAAAAGCGTCTTCTAAATGGCATATTATATTATATTTAATCAATTTTAGAATAAGGTTGTAACGTAACAAAATGTGGAAAAAGTCAAGGGGTCTGAATACTTTCCGAAGGCACTATACATTACTACTACTAAAGTAGAGTTCATAACATTGTATGCAACAAATCTGTTTGTGTTACTCAGAAATACGTTACGGATAAGACAAAGTCTACCGAAGAGCTGATTTGTCTATGAAGGGAGGCAGATAGGCCGTGTTACTTGAGCTGTGTAGAGCAACTCCATACAATTAGATTGGAGACAAAGACATACTATTACTATCTGATTATAAGTTCAGAATGAAATTTACTCCTTGTGTACTCGTTTATTGGGAACTACTTGTCTCATGAGTGTTTGGATTGTGTTGGACTTCGAGTACATTAATTTTTCTCACAGCTAAAGAGCCAGATTGGTGTGACTATTGGATTATGACCCCCCCCCTCAAGTTGCCTAGCGGTAAGAGAGGAAAGCCAGCAACGGGAGGGTTGCCAATTCAAATCCCGGGTCCAACTGGAAAAAATCTGTTGAGGAGTGAGCTGGAAACCAGTGGGTTGCTGGTATCAAATCTTAGATGCCATTGCCTGCCGTTATGCCCTTGATCAAGGCACTTAACCCCCCACAACAACAGCTCCCTGGGCACCCAGTGAAACGATGTGTGTCTTTCGGAGGGGTTGGGTTAAAAGTGGAAGTGAAATTTCGGTTGGAACTTGTGTGCAATGACCAATAAAGTGATATTAACCTCAGTCAATGGGGGCCTTTGCTGGGGGAAGTTTCGAAGGTTTTTTGCTGACACACCCTTGAAACTGGCTACACATTGGGAGATGCACCACTGACAAAGTAGGGGGAAAATAGCAGGCGTTTTGCTATCGGTTACAAAACAATGCATACCCAATGGAAATGCAATCCCCATTTTCTGTGGACGTATATTATTATATTATTCAGCAAAAACAGACCCAAACTCAAACTAAGGACATATAGTTGATATAGATAGTTATTATTATGGGCTTATGGAGAGTTCAGTGGTCAATCTAGACTTGGTTATTGGCTGTTCTATGGTTTCTAGCTGTAGCAAATTCATCCGGAGTCCAGTACAGCTCTGGGTTTTGTGAATTACTGTCTGCAGTCCATTGGTAATACTGCAAGCACCAACATTATTTGGAGCAAACATTTCTAGCCTACTTGTGTGAAGTTGCTTGTGTCTCTATTATAGCCGACAAGAACCGCACTTTGGCTGGGATTCAGTCAAACCTGTCTTTGTTTACAAACTTCACCCTGTGCACACACTACTTTCTGAGAAGTAAAAGCATACCGGTGAGGGGAGTTTACCTGGTAGTAGCTGTGAGTGCTCAAGTAGAGGGATTGTACAGTATAGGCCACTTCATTCAAGCAAGAGGTCATATTTGTTTCCATCCACATAGAAGAAATTACACAGAAATTAGAGGAGTGACTCACTAAAATTATTCTCTTAAAGCATTTTTCCAGTAGGATATCTACTTATCTATATTTTAAAGCACTTAGGCAATTCCATGCACTGTGTCCATCAATTTTACGAATTCTTTTAATGTTCTCTGTGCTTTCTCAGATCCTGTGTTGCATGAGCAGTATCAAGATATGTCAAAATAATACTCCCTACCCATCTCCCTACCTATTAACTATTTGCATGACACACAACTCTTCAACCGTTCATTTTTCTTGGAGGTGAGCGAGAGGACACATCGGGCGCAGTAACCTGACACTTTTTGTATAAAGAGCGATTATGGGGCATGGTGCGTCGATGATAGACCTACCACCGGAGAAAGACCAGTGTGCGCTGTCGAAGTTGATAAATAGTTTTTTAATGTCAAAGGCCTTCTGGGATCACACGGGCACACACAGAGACACACACACCGGCATACACAC